GCAAACACTCTTTATTGGCTGCTTTTTCTTTGCTTGTCCTATTTATTTTTTGTAATGTAAATATAGACAGGCTCTCTGTTGCCCAGGCTGAAGTGCACTGGCTATTTACAAGTGTAATCATGATTCACTGCAGCCTTGAACTCCTGGCCTCAAGTTACCCTCCTGTCTCAGCCTCCTGAGTATCTAGGATGACAGGTATGCATCACCATGCCCAGAGAAGTTTTGTTTGTTGGTTGGTTTGGTAGAGACAGGGTCTCACTTTGTTGTCCAGGCTGTTCCCTCAAGCAATTCTCCTGCCTCAGTCTCCCCCAGTTCTAGCATTACAGGCATGAGCCACCCTATCTGGCCAGCTTATTAATCTTTCTTTTTTTCTTTCTTTCTTTTCCTTCCTTCCTTCCTTCCTTCTTTCTTTTTCTCTTTTTCTTTTTCTTTCTTGAGATAGAGTTTTGCTCTTGTTACCCAGGCTGGAGTGCAACAGCACTATCTCGGCTCACCACAACCTCCACCTCCTGTGTTCAAGCGATTCTTCTGCCTCAGCCTCCCAAGTAGCTGGGATTACAGGCATGTGCCACCACACCAAGCTAATTTTGTATTTTTAGTAGAGATGGGGTTTCTCCATGTTGTTCAGGCTGGTCTCAAACTCCCAACCTCAGGTGATCTTCCTGCCTCGGCCTCCCAAAGTGCTGGGATTACAGGCATCAGCTACTGCACCTGGCCTCATTTTCTTAGATACAAGCATCTTTGAACCATCTGGGATTATTTTGGTATTGAGAGGCAGGAATCCAGCTTCTCTTTGTAAGTATTTATTGAATGAATAATGAGACATTCTGCAGCCCTAAGTAAAGTTGATGGCCTCCTAAGCGATTAGATTAAATGGTTAATAAAGTTGTTTGTCCACTCTACAAATATTTCTAAACCACATGCCAGCATGGCAGAATGCAATGGTGAATAAAATCAGAGTTTCCACCCTGTGGCTATTACAGTTGATGGGACAGGCAGATAGTAGCCAGATACCACAAATGGATGTAACACTTACCAAGGAGATACGTGCCCTGGACGACCATATAATTAAGGACTCTACCCTGGCCTGCGAGGTCAAGAAGGTGTTGCTGGTTAAATAATTTCCTTGGGAAATGCCCTGAGGACCAGCACCTGTGAGAGGGTGAAGCTACCAGGCCTGGCTAGACAGAGAAACTGCGGTGCAGTTGCAACAAAGGCCTTAGCCATTCCCACAGGGAGCTCTGGAGGGTAGATGACCCTTCAGAGTTGCACTGAATGGAGGCACGCGGTCTGGGCTTTTATTGCCCACTGCTTCTCCCTGCTCCAGTGGACTAGGCAGTGGGGATAGGCTGTCCCCAGGCAGCTCCGTCAGCCGGGACATTTCCCGGAGTGAGAATCATCTGCAAGCATCCATCTCCAAGTCTCCTAGCAGCTGGGGAATGAGGGCTCCGGTCCTGAAGTGGACATCTGGGTGGCAGGTCACAGCATCCACTGCAGAAGCCTTCCGTAAAGAAGTTGGGGAGACCTTGAGGACAGTACCGATGGGTAAGCAGAAGTCAACTAGGCTCAGAGAACAAAGACTTTTTCTTGGAGCAACCTGCTTTCTCTAGCACAACATGGCAGGCACAGGCAGGAGTGGAGGCAGGGAGAGTAATTAGGAGGCTGCTAAAGGAATTTCATACAATACGTTAAAATCTGGATATGAGCATATAAAAAATCAGCCAGAAAAGGGAAGTCTCCTGGTGTCCCCAGCCCTCAGAGACAACAGCTATTAAAGTTTCTTTTTGTTTTTTGAGATGGAGTCTCGTTGTGTCACCCAGGCTGAACAGCAGTGGCAAGATCTTGGCTCACTGCAACCTCCACCTCCCAGGTCCAAGCAATTCTCCTGCTTCAGCCCCCTGAGTAGCTGGGGTTACAGGTGCTTGCCAACTCACCCTGATAATTTTTTTTTTTTTTAAGTAGAGACGGGTTGTCACTGTGTTGGCCAGACTGGTCTCAAACTCCTGACCTGAAGCAATCCTCCCATCTTGGCCTCCAAAAGTGCTGGGATGACAGGCATGAGCCAACATGCTGGCCTACTGCATTTGTTTTCCATCTTTCTTCTCTGCACATTTTATTGAAAAGTGAGGATTTTATTGTAGCTGTGATTTGGTTTTCTGCTTTTATCTATACATTTTTTTCTATACCTTTACCGTTCCTAATAACAAAAGCAGTGCCTGCCAGTTACATAAACTCAGAAAGTGCAAATTTGAATACAGAAATAAACAATACTTCCTACCAGGCGCCATAGCTCACACCTGTAATCTGGCACCCCATGGGTGCTTGTCCATGGTCCAGCTCAGCACCCGGCATGCCAAGAATAATTGGGAAATGCCAGCTATGCAGCTATGCACCGTCACCTCAGGAGGGCCTCTTCTCACTTCCAGAGCTGTCTTCTAGTGAAATGCACAAAGACACTGGGCAAGTATGTATGGAGCTTCTAATCTCCCAGATACCAGAGACACATCCATAGACTGACCGAGTTCCCTGCCTTTGTGCTGCGCTCCTCTTGAGGAGACAGACAATGGTGACATGTAAGGAGCTAAAATGTCCTGAGCTGTGAAGGGGGCAAGCACAGGCTGAAGGATGGAGGCAGCAGGGTCGGGGCAGGTGAAGGATGGAGACAGCAGGGTCGGGGCAGGTGGGGTGACTGGGATGTCTGGAGCCCAGGGCTGGGGCCAGACCCTGCACTGCTCTGCTTGGGGACCTCACTGGGCTCTGAGTCATGAGGGCAGACAGTGGCCAGAGTGAGGGGGCACAGTGCAGCCCTTTCCCCACTGCTGAAGATGCCGCCTTCATGGGGTGGGAGCACAGGTTTTGGGGACTTGAGAGCCATCCTCATCCCCAGGGTGGCAGTTTCTGGAAACAAAAATCCAGGACTTATAGTCCTGAGACAGGGGAGCGCTGGGGCTGCGCGTCCTCCCGTGACCTTCACATTGGGCGGTGAAGGCGTCTTCCTGTTGAGTCTGAGAGAAAAAGAAGTGGGGTCACTCAGGGAGTCAGCTTTCCTCTCACTTAGTCCTCACGGTGGCCCTGCGAGGTAAGGACTGCCAGCAGCCCAATTTACAGATGAGGACACTGAGGCTCAGAGAAGTTACATGGTATGCCCAAAGGGACACAGCTACTAAGTGGCTGAATGGATTGAACCTAGGTCTTTCTGAGACAGCCCAAGCTGCTGATGGAACGCTCCAGCTCACGGATGAGCAGGTAAAGTGCAGCAAACACTTGAGAATGATTTGGCAATATTCACCAAAGCTAGATATTTGCCTCCCAGGAGCTAGCAATGTCCTCCCTGTGCGTGTACCTTACAAGATGTGTCTATAACTTCACTAAAATACAAGTAAAACAATCCTCATAGCAGCACAATTTGTAATAGCCTCAAACTGGAAATTCCCAAATATTCATCACAGAAGAATGGAGTAAAAACCATGGTACATTCAAGACTAGAATATGATACAGCAAAGAAAATGAATACATTACGCCTACACATGCAAATGAATCTCGCACACCTCATGTGTGAGGGATAGAAGTTAGACCTATAAGGACAGATAATGTGTGATTCCATTTACACGAAGTTATCGTCAGTAATAGAAGTTAATCTCAGTAATAGAGTTTACCTGGGGCTGGGGTGCAGGTAGTTGAGCCTTTCGTGGGGCCTGAAATGTATGTAGGGAATCAGTTTCACCATCTCCCACAGATATCAAAATCCACAGATGCTCAAGTCCTGATATAAAATGGTGCAGTATTTGCATATGATCTAAGTACCTCTTCTCATATACTTTAAATCACCTCTAGATTACTTATGCAATCGCCTGTCAGATAACGACACTTCAGTCCATGCCAGAATACATATAGGATGGTGGTCCCATAAGGTTATAATGGAGCTGCCCTATACAGCTGTACAGTCTCTAAAAACTGATATTTAACAAGAGATGGGGTGGCCGGACATGGTGGCTCAAGCCTGTAATCCCAGCACTTTGGGAGACCGAGGTGGGCAGATTACGAGGTCAGGAGATGGAGACCAACCTGGCTAACATGGTGAAACCCCATCTCTACTAAAAATACAAAAAATTAGCCAGGTGTGGTGGCATGCACCTGTAATCTCAACTACTCAGGAGGCTGAGGCAGAAGAATCACTTGAATCTGGGAGGCAGAGGTTGCAGTGAGCTGAGGTCGCGCCACCACATTCTGGCCTGGGCGACAGAGCAAGACTGTCTCAAAACAAAACGAAAAAAAAAACGAGAGATAGGATGGGGTCTTCTTATGTTGCACAGACTAGTCTAGAACTCCTGGGCCCAAGTGATCCAACTTGGCTTCCCAGAGTGCTGAGATTATAGGCATGAACCACCTGGCCAGGTGTACCATTTTTATTGTTTATACTGTAATTCTAGGATCCTTTTCTGTGTTCACACAGATAGCCACCATTATGTTCCCATCGTCCCCAGTACTCAGTACGGTAACATGCTGCGGAGGCATGGAGCCCAGGAGCAATCAGCTCTACCTCCAGCCCAGGTGCGTGTTTGGCGGGACCATCTGGAGGAAGCCGAGAAGACATGAGCTGAAGGCAGAGGGTGAGTCCGAGGTGGGATCTTGGGACCGGTGTGAGAAGTTAGACAAAAATGGGTGAAATCTGAATAAATGTCACCATATTCATATAATTACTGCATTAATAACCTTAGATAATGGTTCACATTATCATTTAGTTAATAGGATTGCACCCTGTTAACTTCCTTTTTTTTTTTAACATAAAGCCTCACTCTGTGACTTGGGCTGGAGTGGAGGCTGTGATTGATCATAGCTCACTGCTTCCTGGAACTCGGGCTCAGGCAATCTTCCCTCCTCAGCCGCCTGACTCAGTGGGACTAGAGGCACACACCACCACGCCTGCCTAATTTCTTTGACTTTTCTCTAGAGACAGGGTCTACCTATGTTGCCCAGGCTGTTCTCAAACTCCTGAACCTCCCGCCTCCACCTATCAAATTGCTGGGATTACTGGCATGAGCCGCCACACCTGGCCTAAATTTCTTCCTTTTGACAAGTGTGCCATGGTAATGCAAAACGTCATTATTCGGGGCAGCTGGGTGGCAGATACACGTGCAAAATCTTTTCACCAGTAAACGTTTATTTTACAGCATAAAGGTGGTCAGCAGTGGTGTCAGCCTGGTGAGCCTTGGTAAGGGCAGGTGCAGGATGCTGAGCCTCTTTAGTCCCCATGCCCGTCTCAAGGCCACTTCTTCCGTGGGCCCATCCAGCAAACGAGGTGGCCGGGAAAGAAGCCGGCTCCATCCACAGGGTGTGCTGTTTTGCTCAGCTCAGTACCAACATCATCCTCCATTGTAATTCTCTTCGGTGGGAGTACTGGGAAAGCCTGCACTGGCAGCTGGAAGGCAGCTGGTGGTGGCGAAGCTGCAGCAGTGGCTGCAAGGCTTTTAGCCTCGTTCTGGGACAGTGGCAGAGCTCTCCAGTGCCAGGGTCCCCGGCATGGTCACGCTGACTACAGCTGGGAGCCCAACATACCCCTGGTGCCCCTCTCGTCCCAGGGTTGGGGGTCTAGGCCAGGCCCCTCTTGGCCTGGGAATTGTGCCTTGGGAGGGGAACACTCCCACAGGTTTGTACAGAGGCCCTGGGGCATGCTGCTGGCTGGCCAGGGCTTCGGGGATGCCATGCTCCTATCTCTCTCTCCTCTCTCTCTCTCTCTCTCTCTCTCTCTCTCTCTCTCTCTTTCAGTTTTAATGGGACAAGGCTCCCCATTGAACGGGATTTTCCAAGGTGTCTGGGGCTGCGGGGTTAGGGTTAGGGTTAGGGTTAGGGTCAGGGTCAGGGTTAGTGTTAGGATTAGGGCTGGGAGCCTGCGGGGTGCCCCCCTGGCTCCTTCCAGTCACAGTCATTTGGCCAAGGGGCCAAATACAGGTGCCCATGTTGCAGTGGGGATATCTCCCAACCTTCCTCTTAGTCCTGATAGGCCTGGGCAGGGCCTGGTGTCAGGGTCCCCATGGGCTTCCATGGTCCCAGGGATGTCCAGGACACAGTTAGAAGGGACACGGACCCAGCAGCTCTTTTCAAAATGATACCAGGGAAACCAAGGGCCCCCCACATTTAGGTCAGTCGGGAGCTGGGGCATAGAATTCCATTCTATGAATCGCCAGGAATGGGGGGGTCCTCCCTGAGCAAGGGCCAGGCTAGACACACCCTGAGCGCCCCCAGGGTAGGTGTTTTCACAGACAGCCCCACCAGGACAGGGTGTGAAAGAACAAGCTGGCCATGCTGGGGGAGCTGACCAACTGGGCCGCTGGAACCGAGTTGCTGGGCTGGGAGGGGGCTGACTGTCCCCCTTGCAGTGGGTGTTCCTGCCAGGTGAAGCCAGCATGGGCCTGGGTGCCGAGGACCCTTCCTCGGGTTTGGCTGAAAGGAAAACAGGTACGGTCGGCGTCTCCAGTGAGCCCATGCAGGCCTTTCCGGGCTGGGCCCCACATGCCTGGGTCTCTGCAGTCCTGGGGGGCTCTGTGTGGTCCCTGTGTCTGACACTGAGAACACACCTGTAGTCTGCTGATCCCAGAGGGAGAGGAGCATGCCACCTGGGGTGAGGACGCCGTCCGGGCATGGCAGGTGGCTCCTGGGACTGCCCCCTAGGGTTCAGGCTGGTTGGGGGCTTCCTGCCACACACCCTCCTCCCAGGACTACAGCCCCCAGGCAGAACTCAGGTGGGAGGGGCCTTGGCTGTCACCCAGCCCCCTTGCCACCTCCCATGGGGACCTGATTGGGCCTGGACGTGGGTCACCCTCTGCTCTCCTGATCTGCCCAGTCCATGCCAGCACTGACCATTCCCACATCTGGCTGAACTCTGGGCTCTGGCTCTGGGCCCAGGATCCCACCTGTGTCCTGTCCCTGAATGCTCTGGGGGTCAGGAACACCAATTCCCTTGTCTCCCTGGGTCAAGGTTGTGGTCCTGGCACCCTTGAAGGTGTGTGCAGGAGTGAGGGGCCTCTGCTGCTCTCTGAGGCTGTCAGTGCTCACAGGGAGGGACGGGGGCTCCCACAAATGGGTCTGGCTCCTCCAGTGCCCTCAAGGGCCCCATGAGGGGGACAATGGACCACCATGGAAAGTGGAAGGGGGCTTGTTGGAGGGTCTTGCCCACATTCCCCTCCTGCGTGCACAGCACGTCCAGTCCACACGCACTGAGCGCTTGTCCTGAGGACCGGTGGGCCTACTGTACTTTCTTACAGTCTAGGAGGAAGAGGAGGAAGAAAGGCTGAAGAGGGAGGGCCAGGTAGTAGGGTTGAGGATCCCAGGCATTCCCCCACTATTGACTTCCCCAGAGGGTGACTCGGGAGGGGACCTGGCACTGGAGCCCACCTGGGGATGGCAGGTCCTCGTGCTTCTTTCTCATTTTTTGCCTGGAGGTCCAAAGATCTTTCAACAGCTTTTCATCATTCAACACCCGGGTATGGGAAAACAAGTCCCGAAAACGTGCCCACAGGCCAGACCTTGATGTTCTCAGGAAGGGCTCTAGGGACAGGGTGGGCATCAGGCCAGGAGAGTTCCCTGGGAGGGGTCAGAGCCCATACCCCCTGGCCACTTCAGTCTCCCACTGGGCGGTGCCAGATCCTTTTGTGGCCACCCCAGGGGTTCAGATGTGCACAGGAGGCTGTGGCTGGGGGGCGGCCTGGGCAGGGCAGTGCTCACCACACTCCCGACTTTCATCTGGGTCATGTGGGGGATGGGTTCAGTGTCACTGTGCCCTCCCAGCCCACCCGGCCAGACCTCCCTCTGGGCCAGAACAGAGGATCATGAGGACAGTGTGAGGAAGCTCCCTCGGGTCAACTGGGTTCTGACCCCAGTGCTCCCCAGGTCACAGGTTGACTTACTCCTCTGAACCTTGAAAATGGTTCTCGTTATGGGCATCAGCGCCTGCTCCCCCTCCATGAGATAGACATCCCACAGGCGCAGGGTGAGGCCGAGAGAGATCTGTGGGGACAGCAGGTGTGTGAGGACCTGGCCCTTCCAGGCTGAGGCTGTGGCTCAAGCTGGGCCCATTGGGGCTTCAGTCCCCAGAGTCAGTGACCCTCCCCATGAGGGTGGCCTGACCCCTCCGGGAGGCTGGGTCAGACAAGGTCTCACAGCTCCTCATGGGGGGCATTCATTTCAGTGGGGATGTGGCTTTTGGAGAGAGGGGCTCGAGGCTTCCCTTCGCCCTCCCAAGTCAGATCCTGGGCCAGTCTGTCATGAGGCTGGTCCCCAGCCCCTGCCTCTGCATTGGGATGATACCTCTGGGGCAGAGGGTCTTGCTGTGTGTCCTGTGGGGACCCGCATGTGCCTCCTGTGGGCTGGGGGTGAGCAGGCACTGCACGGCAAGGAGGGTCCCCGAGACGCCCTGTGCCTCCTTACCTCATCATTGAGCATCTGGAGAAGGCAGCCTAATGAGGAACCCTGTGCGCCTCGTCCTTCCTTGTCCTAATGGAAGGAACAGAGGTTCTCAGGGCCCCCTGGGCTGCTCTAGAAACCTCCCTCTTCCAGGGCCCACTGAAGACCCCTCCCTAAGTGTAGTACACTGGGCGGTGTCCAGGGCTCCCCACAACACCTTCCCCTTCCCGCACTCCTGGGAAACACACTGCCCTTGGCCCTGATCTGCGGGAACTGGGTCTCAGTCCCTGTACCTCTGTCTCCTCCAGGGCTGGAAAAAAAGCCCCAAATCCCAGCCCACAGAGAACCCCATGTCCCAGGTCAGGCCCTGGCCGCCACTCAGCCTGTCACCAGCCCCAGGAGGGGCTCCAGCCCCCCTGCTCCTCCAGCCCTTGTGATGCAGGGCCTCTGAAAAAGAGTCAGAGGACCATAAACTCACCAGATGCCACATGGTCTTGGGTTGTGACGAGGGCGCCACATGCTCCTGATGGTCTTGGAGTCCCTGGACTGTCCCACCATTTGGGCTGTGGAATCCTGAGAAGCCCCCAGCCCATCATGAAATCAGAGCCCTCTCCCAAGATGTGGAGCCGTCAGCTGGAAGAGCTGGGGAGCTGCAGAAGCCCCCAATCCCTGAGGCCTCCCACCCTCCCATCTGCTGACCCCAGCATGCAGTTTTGGCCCTGGGGAGAAGGGGTGGGAACATCTCCTGGAGCCTGGCTGGAGGTGCTCCTGGAGGCCTCCTGGGCCAGGGTGCTGGGAGGGCAAGACTGACTTTGAGGTCAGGACAGAGGGCAGCCAGAACACAGTGGGTGCTGGCCTTCGTGGTCGTCTCCTGGAAGTGGCATCGGGCCAGAGGACACGGGATGGGAAGATGCTGCCCTCTGGGCTCAGTCAGCCCATTCGTGGGGACCAAGGGCAGCTGGAGCCCAGGCAGCTGAAGGGCAGGAAGACTGTCAGGGAGGGGAGAGTCAGCTGCACAGAATCAGAGCTGGAGGGCATGGCTCCAGGACACCGAGGTCAGCCATGGGGAGGGTGAGATGCCTTCTGCTGATGGGGATGAAAGGCGTCTGGCTTGGGCTCCGGGAGTCAGCCCCCAGCTCCTGTGGGACCCTCAGCAGAGACATCCTAAAGGCTCCCAACAAGCTGGCGACACAGGAAGATGCCTTCACTGAAAGTTGTGATCACCTGGCCAGGGTGGCCATCCCCAGGTTTGGTAGCAAGAGGTCCCAGGGGCACCTGTCCACCTACCCTGCAGGGAGTGCCTCTCAGTGGCCAGCAGCTGTGCCAGTGCCCAGAATGCGTCCTCTTCGGAAAGGTACAGCAGGAACAAGGCAGCCACCTGGCTCAGGTCTCTGCAGTAGCCCACCTCCTGCAAGAGCCAGAGTCACCGTGGAAGGACATCATCATGGAAGGATATCACCCGGGTGCTGAGGTCACCTGGGAGGACTCATGTCATTGGAGAGGACAGAGGTGACTGGGGAGGCTTCCTCTGAAGAAGCAGCTTCCTCGGGATGCAAATTCATTTCATTTCGTGACAAGAGCGATGTCCATCAGGCACTTCAGCAATTGGTCAAAATGTCTCCTGAGAGCACTGTCCTGCGTGCGACACCGCCAGGCTCCTGGGCTTTGGGGCAGCCCCAGGAGGAAGGTGTCATTTCTTGCTCTGTCAGGCCCAGGTGACACCAGGAGTCAGGGCCCTGACTCTTTTGTGACTCAGTTTGACCCCTTGAGACCACCCCCCTTGCTTGGAGGTTTATGCCAGCGGTGAGCTAGAGTCATGCCTTCTGTATCCTGGTGGCTCACAAATACTGACTTGGAAAGAAGCAACGACACCCCCACTAGACACCCACGCCAGTGATCATGGGAATATGACCCGGGAATATGGCCGTGAATATGGGAATATGGTCACTGCCCGGAATACTCACCGGATTATACTCTGCATAGGCCAGCAGGACGTGGAATAGTTCCTGCTGCCTAGGAGACAGAGAAAGGGGGCTTTCGTTTCTTTTGTGGAGATGCTATTAGTTTCACTTTGTCTACAAACCCTAACAGCAAATCCCATTTCAGGTTCAGATGATTCACCAGACAAGCAGTGAGCGCTCCCGGGCCTTTGACTGTTTAAGAAATCTTTCAGTAAAGTCCACATCTATGAAATGCACATATCCCAGTTGGACAGTGAGTTGAGTAATCATTTTTGCTTTGATTGATTTCTTTTTCAGTTTGCACACACGCCAGTTCAGTCTTTGGGTGTACAGTTCTGCCACCGTTCTAACCCAATGTGCAGAGTCTCCGGCCACTGCTCCAGCCCCTCCGGGAGCGACTCCTTCATCCTTCAAGTCTCCAGAGTGGCCTCTATGCAGCCCACCTTCCCCATTCCATCAACTCCTGGTCACCCAGACCGGTTCTCAGTCCCTCTGGTTCGCCCTTTTCCAGAATGGCCTATGAATGGGAATCCTACAGTGGTAGCTTTTTGAGTCTGGCTTCTTTCTCTTAGCAAAATGCATCTAGGTTCCACCCACGTTCATGTGGGCATCACCGGCTTGTTCCCTTTTCTCACTGCTTCAAGGCAGAACCAACCTTCCTCGCCCCATTCCCATGCTGACGGTCGTCCCCAAAGGCTCTGTGTGTGAGTGACGATGAATGAAGCAGTGAACGTGGCATGCAGGTTTCATGTGTACATCAGTTTCCAAGTCATTGGGTTCAATATCTGTGACACTTTGGGGACATGTGGTTCAAGTGCATTGAGCTTTATAAGCCACTGCCCAACTGGTGGCCAAAGTGGCTGTGCCATGTCACGTTCCCAGCAGACCTGGATGAGAGTTTCCAGGACCCTGAGTGCCCCTAGCATTTGGTGCTGTCAGTGCTGCCTGGGTCCCTCCATCCTGCCGCCCTCCCGTGGGTGCTACCATGGGGCCCCATGGGTCAGGGAGAGCACTTTCTCCCATTGTGCATGATTTTCTTTGCAGCTTTCTGTCTCCTCAGGGTCCTCTTGGGTTCTGGCCCCACATGTTCCAGACTGGCCCAGGGTTTGGAACCTGGGAGCTGCTCGGTCCCTGGTGCCAGGTGCTCCCTGGGGCAGGAGAGCCCTTGGCAGCTCTGTCATCCCTCCTGGGTGACCCTGGCTTCTGCTCCAGGGAAGTCCTCATCTCTCTGGTTCACCCTGCCTGTCTCCACTGGGGCCCTGTGGCTCCCGTGGGCTTACTTGAGGCCATATCGCTCCCGGAAAAGAATGTGTCTTCTGAGTGTCTTCCTCACATCCAGGTCGATCTGGTGCACCTGTTCACAGGACCTCTTCCCCTTCTCCTTCATGAGCTATAGGGCAGGGCCAAGAGGAGGAAGCAGCCTCAGAACAGATGGAAGACTCCCTGCCCCAAAGGGCAGTCGTCCCACAGTCAGCACTTCCAGAAGGAAGGAAAGAAGGGATTTCCTTCGGCAGAAAGCTGCTTTTTGGCTTGTTTCTGAAGCCAGAGAGCGTCCCCAAAGCCGAGCTCATCTGTGGTGCCTATGTCGCTCTATGCCCAGGATGTGCATCTGGCCAGCACACACACACCCCAAGCGGGGCTTGATGTTCGTTCCCTGCAGCTGGAGACCTGGGCCCCTGACATGGCTTGACCTGTTTGTTGTGCTCCGGCTTAGCGTACCTGGTATGTGTTGGGGTTTTTCCCCTTGATATCATCGATGTTGAGGAGGACTGACCACACCTGGCCCCGGATACCCATGGGAATGCCCTTGTAAACATGGCGAACCAGCTGCGGGCAGAAAACAATCTGGTGACTCGGACCAGGGGTGACCCCCGAGAGGACCAGAACCCGAGAATTCTGTAAATCATTAGTTTTGGCCCCCTGATTCCTCAGTAGAGGTGAGATCAAGCCAGGGAAGGGTCTCCCTTCCCAGGACTGAAAGAGGAAATGGGTACTCAGAGTCCTGAACTCTGATCTGGTCTCGATCCTTCCTTTAGGTCACCAGGAGGCTGCCCTTGCCCTGAGCTCCGGGTGGCCCCAGCCCTAGATTCAGATTCCCTTCCAGCAAGGTGACGCCCGCACCAATGGGCAGCAAAGCCTGCGACCAGGCTGCGATCCTCTGCGTGAGGACAGTGTGCCACCCCGCCCTCTGAGAGGCTGAGGGTGCCAGGCCACAGCCACGGGTGTCTGTCCTCTGTCCCTGCAGAGAGTGGTTCCAGGGCCTCTCCCTCCACACGTTACTTTTTCGCTGTTCTTGTATTTCTCCCATTCTCCCAGCATTTTCATCCACTTCATCTTGCGTCTCAGCTCCTGCCGAATTTGCTGTCAAGAGAGGAATGCTGGAGTTAGCAGAGCCACCAGGCTTCCAGAGCGGCCCATGAATGCTGTGTCTTGGGTTCTGGAGCCCTGGTGGGACCCAGCTGGAAGGAGCCAGGGAAGGGCAGACTCTAAGGGCTAACAGCCTTTGAGCAAATGAGTGCCAGTCAGCTGGCCTTGGGTCCCCGGGATGTGCCATCCTCAGGCAATACACACACCAGTCATAGGTCCGGACCCAGCCTCTAGGTAGGGTTCTGACACAAGTGGGCAGCCACCCCCAAGCCACGACTCTGGTTCTCACTTTGGAATTTCATCAAACTGCCAGAGATACAGTGACTTGGGGTCAGGTGCAGCAGGGAAGCAGTCCCTCCCAGTGACAGTGTGTTGCTCGCACCCGCCACCACCCAGGCCTGCTGCCTCCTCTGCCTCACCCACCACCTGCCCAGTCCCCCTGCCCCTGGGTCAGGCCCCCCATGCATCAGGGTCTTACCTTGGCTTCCCCAGAACTGACAGGAGGCAGTTCCGTCTCACTGTAAGGCAACCAAGCAGAGCTGAGGGCCTGCACAGGGATTGGAGCCGTCTGGTCTGGGAGCCGACCCCCAGAAAGAACTGGCTCTGTCCCATCCAGCTCAGGGCTCAGCCTGGGAAAAGGCACAGGGAAGGGAGGATGAGGGCTTTCCTGTGGGGCTGACTCCCGGGAGGGGCCAGGACCTGGGAGGAGCAGGAGTGCAGGGCCAGCCTGGCCCAGGTTACCCGGGCCCCTGGTGTGGGTGGGTGGTCAGGCTGCACAATGGGATGCTCCTCCTGGCCTAGAGGTGGTGCTTTCTGCTGCAGCTGAGAAAGGTCGGGCCTGAGATGGGATGGGGGCTGCCCAGGGTGGGTGACAGGGCCCTGACAGGAGTCCCTTCCAAGTGATCACGTGATGTGGAACTGCCAGGGTCTCCGGAGCCTGGCCTGAGACCTGTACAGTGCACCCAGGGTGTACCCAGGACCCATCGCACCCTACACGCCCAAGGCCTTCACAGGTTCTGACCTCCCAGCATCCACCTGCCTCTCCCTGCAGCCGAGCCACACCCCCTGCATTTTAGAAGTGGCAGGGCTCATAAGCTCCCTCCACCCTACCTCCCCCAGGATCCTCTGTCTCTCCATGCTATGATCCCTGAGGGATGGGCGCCAGGCTGGGCTCCTCTTACCTGGCCCTGGATCCTTTCCCAGCACCAGACCCAGGCTCTTTAGCTGCAAGCTCTGCTGCCGTTTTGGCCTCACCGTGAGGTGCCCAGAACAGGGTCCTGCCCGTCTTCTCCCTCATTCCCCAGGGCCACAGCCCCCACTGTCCCCATGCCTTTCCCCCTTCAGGGGGAGACAACGGGATTCTATGGCTCTAGGCAAATGGGGGAGAACAGGGGCAGGTGGGCCCTTGGAGACCTGCTGGACGACAGCCCTGAGGCTGGGCCAGGCGTCCCCTCACCCTGTGGCCACAAACCTTGAATTTCACTGGGGCTGTCGGTAAGTGGACAGGGCTAGACCCTCAGGCTGCCCCGCTCCTCTTGTCCTAACTTGGAGGTGGAACTGCTGAGAGCCCAGGGGCCCCATCTAGCCCCTTCTCCGTTCCCACCCGCTCCCTAGATGGGCCTCTCACCTCTGGCCCAACAACCTCAGGCTGGACCTGCAGGGGAGCCAGGGAGGAAGTCTGACCCTGGAAAGGAGTTTGGCCCGACCTGGGAGACATGGCTTCAGGGCCTCAGGAGGTTCTTTCTAAAAGCAAACCCACCCCTGAGCTGAGACAGGTGCTTTAGGGACTGATGGGAGCACGGAGGACTCACTGCACAATTCCAAACCGATCCGTGCGGTTGTAGATTTCCACAGGCTCAATCTCCATGTCTGCTGGCAGCCCAGCTCGGTGTCCCTGCAACGCAGAGGGAGCCTTGCTGAGGGGTCAAGGTAAAGTGTACAAGAGGCCTGGGGGCATTGGCCACCAGTCTTCACCCTGTGCTCCTAGGGAGCCCAAAACCCTTTGACCAGGGCACACTGGAAGAGGCCCCCTTCCAAGGAGCAGATGGACCTGTACCTTCTCATACTTGAGAATGATGTCCTCTCGCTCCAGTAAAGTATCCTCTTCCTCTATCCTCTCCATCCTGTGAGACAAAATCGTCTAAAGGTTACACTGCAGCTGAGAACTTCAGAGAACACCTGAACCGCTCCTGCTGGGCTCCCAGATGCTGGCTGACTGCATAACCCCCATTCCACCACTGCCACCAGTGAAAACGGGCCAGACGCAGTGGCCCACACCTGCATGGGTCTCTGGAGTCTCAAGCCCCAAGCAGGAGTGGGCATCTTCTCAAGGATGTGAGAACAGTGGGACCTGGTCAGAGAATCCCGTTGTCCCCAAATGCCATGAAATGGGGACACACCTGCCCTGGCAGGTTGAATGGTGTCCCCTTGCTGAAATCGAAGGGCCCATGATGGGCTACTCCAGACATGTGGAGGCAGACTGGGGTCAGGGACCAAGGGTCTCTGTACAGTCGGCCTCCTGGGATTCTCAGGGACCAGACAGATGTCCAGTTTTCCACAGGGAACAGGATCTCTCCTGACTGCTCCGTCCTACTCCAGTCATCACTTGGGCTACCGTGGCCCTTCAGTCGGAGCAGCGAAGCCACTTTAGGAATAACGCCAGTTGAGCAGGAGGGTGTTTGATTTGGGGCATGAAAATGATCTACTGTCTCCAAAGCAGCCTCTGTGCTTGAGGAAACCACGTCTCTGGGGAAGGGACGGCGGACTCCACCATTCTGAGCTCTCCATATAGGAGGGGGCTTCATCTCCCTGGGTCACTGAGGAAGAACAGTGGGTCCTTGGTCCTGGAGAACACCTAGATGGACCATCCCTCCTGGGGACACTCGGGGCAAAAGGAGGGTGAGGACTCGACAGGACCAGACAGAGAAGGAAATACTTGGGGAGAACCTCAGTGCCTGGACCCTTTGAAGAGGAGGAGAGATAGTCTCCCTCCAGCCAGCCCTTCAGGGATTCTTCATTTTCCACAACTGCCCAAAGGCCAAGGCTCCCCATTCACTCCTGGACAAGAGACTGTGTGTGTCCAGTGGGTCCCACAGCGACCATCAGGACCCAGCTTAGGCCACAGAGGTGTTTTGATGATTCATGCCAGTCAATTTGTGGATTCGTCCCAGTGGCTCTGCCAGGGCCAGTTTCTGCCCCATCGGGATGGAAAACCCTGAACAGATTTGGGATGTAGAGCAAGAAGGCCACAGGGTTCAGGCCTGAAGTCCCTCTCAGCACAAGGCAGGGCTGAGAGCAAAACCCATGGTCACGTCTGGATTCCCAGACTGGTTACTGCCTCTCTGACCCCAGAAGTCTCACCTGTCGAATGGGTACATTCAGGATAGCACCCCCCCTACAGAGCCACCATGGGGATGAAAGAGACAATCGTCTACACAGGGAGCATAGAAGAGGCACCCACTGAGTGCTCAGGGATCACCCTCCTTGGCAGCTGCCCAGAGGCCAGCACAGCCCACACCGTAGCCACTGTCCCCAAGTCAGCATGGAGAGAAGAGAGCAGGTCACACTCACCTGATTCTGATGAATCAGCTGGCCTGTGTTATACCTCTCAGGTAGAAAACCTTTAAGTACACAGAAGTGCTCACAGATACCACTGTGTGTGTGTGTAGCCGCTGTAGAACACAGAGGCAGGCCGGAGAGCAGCCTGCCCCAGACCCAAGTGGGACTGCCCCAGGCCAAGTGGCATTCTGAGGTCATGGCACGCATCACAATGGGGCCTTGCCCGGGTCAGCAGGGCCCAGAGTCAGCGTCCTCCACTACCTGAGGCGACAACACGCCTTTGTGCAATGTGTCTGTGCACCTGGGTGCTCACGTGTATGTGGATAAATGTGTCTGTGCACATGTATGTTGCTTCTCTGGCCAAGCCTGGCCACCCCACTCATGTGTGCACCGAATTCCTCGTCACTGTCACCCCCGGAGCCCAGGGCCAGCATCAGAGCATCCGTGGGTGCTCCCTGACCTCAGTCCTCCCTGCCCAGGGTGGTCCTGGGCTACACATAGGTGGAGGGAAATGACTGCTGCTGTTGAATCTCAGAGTCAAAATGCTAATACTATTACCTAATGGACTTTTTAGTATCTCTAATGGCCTTAAAATACTATCTCTAGTGGTATCTCTTTTTTATTTCCGATATTTTAATTGGGTGTTTCTCTCCACGACCCTTGATTATTCTAGCTAGAGGATCGGGTGGGGAATGTGCCCGGCACACAGTAGGGGCTCACTCTTCTAGACATGTTCTCTGAAATCTGGCTCATCTGTCCTTCCACCCAAGGCCTACAGGATGCCAAATTCCAGGGGACAGAAAGAGTTTGGGACAAAAAGAACATTCGAGGGGAGGGCTTTGACCTGGGCTGAGTCTGCTTGTGCCATCCAAAATGGGAGGCTCAGTAATTGAGACAGGGCATCCAGATGACCCAATGCAGGGCTCTCCTGATGGACACCTGCTCCCCTGTACTCATTAGCAACCTCACCCATCCTACTCTCAAAGCACAGTTAGCCCTCGTATCTGGGAGCTCTGCATCTGTGCATTCAGCCAACAGTGGATGGAAAATATTCAGAAAAGAAATCGGATGCTTATGTCTCAATGAACATGTGCAGACTTTGTCCTCATGATCATTCCCTAGACAATACAGTAACACAACCATTTATGCAGCATCTGCATTGTATTACGTATGATAACTAATCTAGAGATGGTCTAATGTATACGGGAGGAAGTGCAAAGGTCATATGTAAACGTGAGGCCATGTTATATCAGAGACTTGGGCATCCATAAATTTTGGTAGCCCTGGGGACTCTAGAACTAATCCTCCATGAATATCAAGGGATGACCGCATATACTCACTCAGGAAGGCTTCTCATTGGAGGAAGGACCCAGTTCAGGATAGGCAGGGGCATCCTCTGTGGACTACCGTCCATTCATCCTTCCATTCATCCATTGGCCCAAGGACAGCCCTAGCAGCAAGTGGAGACAAGAGAAAAGACCAACTCACGTCATCCAGCTTTGAGGGCCTAGAAGAAGTTGCACCAGTATGAGGATAGAGGGTCAGTTTCCTCCAGAATCCAGAGTACTTCAGGCAGCCTCGGGGTAAGGAAAGGAGCCTGGCCTCTCCAGCAGCCACACAGGCCCCCAGTAGGATGGAGCTGGACTGGCCACGTGGATCACTTGGGCCTAATAAGGGGAAAAGCAAGACCAGGGGGCAGAGGAGGAGCATGGGGGCAGCTGGTGGCCTAAGGAGAAGGCGCCTCAGGGAAGGGGTCTGCATTAGTTTGTTTTCACACTACTATAAAGAGATACTGGAGACTGGATAACTTATAAAGAGGTTTAATTGACTGGAAGTTCAGGAAACTTACAATCATGGCAGAAGGCAGAGGGGAAGCAATCACCTTCTTCACACAGCGGCAGGAGGGACTGCCACACTTTAAAACCATCCGCTCTCCTGAGAACTCAGGGGAACAGCATGGGGGACACTGTCCCCAAATCCAATCCCCTCCCACCAGGTTCCTCCCTTGACGCAGGAGGATTACAATTCCAGATGAGATTTGGGTGTGGACACAGAGCCGAACCTATGAGGGTCTCAGTCTGTCTTGCAGCTCCCCAAGGGCTGAGGCTGAGTACAGTTCTGCTGGCCCTGCTCTACAGCACGCAGAGCTCTGCCAGTGTGCCCCCTCTGCAGCTTCCTGGGGATGGTGGCTGCTTACTCAAGAGGATGGTGGATGTGTTCCCAAGCTGCCACCCGCAGGGCCTTGTGGAGTCCTGGCCATGTCCTCTGAGGGTTAGGGCAGGAAACTGGGATCCTCACCCTTCTTGCTGCTTGGTTGACAAGCATCCTTGCCCTTCTTTCTGCTTGGTTTGACAGAATTTGCCAAAACGCTCTCCTTTTAGAAGCATCCTGTAGGACGCTTTTCTTGAAGACAACTATTCCACGGACCCAGGAGAAGGGGAAGGGATGATGTGGAGATAGTTCTCAAGCCCATTTACATCCATTCCATGCTTTATTTCTGTTATTATTTCACTGTAATATATTATGAAATAATTATACAACTCATAATGTAGAATAAATGGGAGCCCTGAACTTTTTTCTGCAACTACATGGTCCCATCTGAGGCTGACGGGAGACAGTGACAGCTCATCAGGCATTGGATTCTCACAAGGAGCATGCAACCCAGATCCCTCCTGAGCCCTCAGGCCTTTGAGCTTGCTGCCCTTGTGGACTGGGCCTCTTGTTTCTTTGGTTCTTGCTTGCTCTTTTTCTCTCTCTTTTTTTTTTTTTTTTTTTGGTGGGGGGGGCTTCTAAGGTTTTTTTGTTTTTTGTTTTTTTAGAACAGTCTGGTCCCTGGATGGGGGCCTCTCGCCCTGCCCCTCCCCAGTCTGGCTACAGCTCTGATGTCACTCGATTTTGAGAAGCTCCACCTCGAACACCAGGGTTGCACCACCTGGAATCTTTGGGGGAGCTCCCAGCTCTCCATACCCCAGCTTGGATGGGATCACCAGCTTGCTCTTTTCTGCCTCACACATCCCCAGCAGCCCCTGGTCCCAGCCCTTGATGACCTCGCCTGTGCCAAGGGAGAAGACGAAGGGCTTCTGGGGCAGGCTGCTGTCAAACTCCGTCCCATCTTCCAGCTTCTCCGTGTAGTGCATGTGCAGGACATCCCATTTCCGAGATTTGATGGGACAGTGGTCCACCCGTTTCTTGACCCCGATCTGCAGCTTCCTTTTGCCCTAGGCCCCTGTGGCTATGGCCCCAGCACTCGGGCAGATGGACAGTACTGTCAGGACCTGGACCCAGCTCAGCCTCATGTCTCTGTGGGCACAGACCCCGACCGACCGACTCCTCTCCGAGCCCCGGAAGTCAGCCCCGGTGGTGCTGCTCTGCTGTTTCTCTTCATCGTGTCTGTTCCAGCATCACTTCCTAGGAGAGGCCCTCTCTGCCCACCCCTGCTAACCTCCCCCCCCACCTGTCTCCACCATCCCATCGCCATGTTCTTTAAGGTTTTGTTTTTTTTTTTTCTTGTAAAGAAAAAAAGTGGGCCAAGCATGGTGGTAGCTCTCTTGTTAACTCTTGTTATCCCAGTACTTTGGGAGGCTAAGATGGGAGGATTGCTTGAGCCCAATCCTAAAAACAAACAAACAAACAAAAAAATTACCAGGGTGTAATGGCATGCCCCTGTGGTCCCAGCTACTCAAGAGGCAGAAGCAGGAGGATCCCTTGGGCCCAGGAAGTCGAGGCTGCAGTAAACCAGGATCACGCCCCTGCTTCCAGCCTGGGTAACAGAGCAAGAACTTGTCTCCAAAAGAAAGCAGACTATACAGGGATACATAATATATAATATATATTCATATATTTACTTGAGAATCATCATTTTTACTAAGGCTGTTAGATGTTAGCACATTACTGGTTCTATCAGTCTCTCCGCAGGCACTTGCTGTAAATAAAGCAGAGAGGTTTTCAGAGTACACATCACCCTGTTTTGGTTTCTCCATGCTGTTGTCTGGCTCCCCTTCCAAAACCTAAGTTCCAGGATGGCAGGAACGTTGTCTACTTGGTTCACACCCGACACAGTAAGTGCTCAGAAATGTCTAACGACACAGACCCGCTCCTCGGTTTGCGCTGGTCCTCCGTGGTCCCCTGTGCAGTGGGAGAAGGCAGTCCCAGCCCAGGGTCCAGGGAGAAGACGCGAATGGAGAGCGGGAGAATGCGGACCTTCCAGAAGCGCCGGGGCCCAGGGCTCTACGTCCTCCAAGCCCCTACCTCGGGCTCCGCCTCCTCCGGCGCTTGTCCCTTTAAGGGCCGCGCGCGCCGTTGCCTCGCTCTGGGGCCGGTACCTGCGCGCCCACGCCCCGCGTTCCTAGCTCCGCGCCCCGCGCGCCTCCAAGCGTTGGGGGTTTGTCCTTCGCCGCGGTCATGTCCACCGGCCGGCCCCGGCAGCCCCGCGCGGCCCAGGTCTCCGCGCCCACGCTGGGCCGGCGCCCTGGGCCATGATCCGGCTGGGCGGCTGGTGCGCGCGGCGGCCCCGTGGCGCGGCGGTTCCCGCGGGACGGCGCGGGGCGGCGGGCAGGCCGGGCCTGGCGGGCGGCCGCGCCCTGCGGGTGCTGGTGGACATGGATGGCGTGCTGGCCGACTTCGAGGGCGGATTCCTCAGGAAGTTCCGCGCGCGCTTCCCCGACCAGCCCTTCATCGCGCTCGAGGACCGGCGCGGCTTCTGGGTGTCGGAGCAGTACGGCCGACTGCGGCCAGGGCTGAGCGTGAGCGTCCCTGCCAGGCCCCGCGCCGGGCCCCCTTTCCGCCCGGGCCCAGACCCCGCGCTGCTGCGGCGAGAAAACGAGGTCGCCTCGCAGCCGTGGCCCAGGGCACCCCCTGCGCGGGCGACCTTAGACGGTCAGCGCCCCAGCCTCGCGGTGGCCCTCTGGTAGAATAGGGTCAGGTCGGGGTGAGGGGGAGGGCGAGGGCGAGGGGCCACAGCCCACCGGGAAGACGCAGCCCTGTGCTCAGGATCTGTTGGCTGCCATCCAGGGCTTCTGAAATGCGGGAGAGTACAAAGTGTTAATGTATCTGACTCTCTATCTAAAGCTGACTTTAACGTTAATTTGTGGTATATTTTGGCTTCAAGTCGTTTGTTAAATTTTTAGAAAAATAAACGTTGTAAGTTGTCCTCTTTCACCCAGATTGCAATCACGTTCCCACTTATTTGTCCTCAGGACTTTTATGGGTGTCTTTACCCATCTTTTTTGCCGTTGTCCATGAAAGCATAGCTTCCAGTGGTGTTTGAGGCCCAGAGAGGTTATGTGACTTTCTGGGGGTCACACAGCAAGTCGGTGGTCAAGGTGAGGTGGGATCCACCTCATGTCTTTTTTTTTTTTGAGACAGTTTTGCTCTTGTTGCCCAGGGTGGAGTGCAGTGGTGCCATCTGGGCTCACCACATTTTCTGCCTCCTGGATTCAAGTGATTCTCCTGCCTCAGCCACTCAAGTAGCTGGGATTATAGGCATGCACCAACTCCCTGGTCTCGAACTACTGACCTCAGGTGATCTGCCTGCCTCAACTTCCCAAAGTTCTGGGATTACAGGCATGAGCCACGCCCCCAGCTGCCTCATGTCTTATCCCCTTGCAGAGATGGCCTTCCTAAACACCTGAGCTCAACCCCTCCCCTCTGACTCCCGAGGTGTTCTGTCCAGGATGGGTAGAGGGGAAAGAAAGATCCAAAAGGGACGTTTACAGAGTTTGGTAAATTTGAAGTATTTTGCAAAATGAACAGGGGATTTTGGCATGCACAAAATTAGAGAGGCTGAGTGTTTTCTTACATCCCTTGATTGGCCACCTAGGGTCGCTGCCAGAGGTTTTGATAAAGAGAAGGAAGTTACAAGAGCCCTTTTTTTAGCCACAAGTTCACTGTGTCCTCTCTTTTGTTGGGTAGATATTATTATCTGTTTTCCAGATGAGGAAACTTGTCGCAAGTCACATGCTGCTCAGGGGCTCGGTCAGGACTCGAACCCAAGTCTGTCTGCCTCCCAAACACAGAGCTCCCCACAGTTAGAACTCCTGTTCTCTGTCCTGCTGTCTCTAACAAGTGACATTTCTTCTGACTTCAAAAAGATGCCTCATCAGTAATGGTTTGTTGAGGGACAGGTTTTAAAAAAGGAAACCAAGTGCCATTTGTCTCCGTCAACACCAGGCCCTTCAGAAGTTGACTTTCCCAGAGCCCAGTGTACCGAGCTCTTCCATGGCCAATACCTAATGATGAGCTTTAAACTGGAGAAGACATCCTAGTACTTTCTGCAGCCTCAGGAGTAGGCTCCAGTGTGCCATGAGCGTTCATGTATAGACAGCGCTTTGCATCGGGAGTCTGGGCACTGTACATCTGCCCGGAGTGTATTATCATGGAAACCAAGCCCACCCCCAACTCTGAAAAGTGCAGCAGCTTTTCCAGTTCATTGTGCAAATGTGCAGGCTCTGCAAGTGCGGGGTTACTGGTTTCCAAGCACAAGGCAAAGGCACGTGGCAGTAAGGAGGGTGCCCTGGGAGTAGTCTGCTGGCTTCCCTTCCTTAGGATGGTTTGCTGCTGCAGGCATCCCTGGGCCTCCCCTTGGCCAGACTGGCCCAGTAGCTGTGGTTAAAACAACACCCCGACATGTGGCTCCTTTTGTGTATGTAGGCATTTCTGTTTTCAAAATTCTGCTCTGTCTGTATTCCCTTTGAACTTCACAGTACCCAATGTGGGATGTGAGGATCAAAAGCGTTTCAGTAACAAGCTCGCATTTGCCTAGTCCCTGTGGTTCCTATGGCTGTTGCTGGTGTGCTCTCAGAGTGTCCTCCAGTCATCTATGGGACATGGTGGCATCTTTCATAGCGTGCAGAACCACCTGGTGGAGGCACTGCCTGCACTGTACTCGCAGGAGTTAGGCTCCTGCTTTTCATAGGCTGAGATGTGTCTGTCTCCCCTCTGATTGTCACATTCCCCTTGCCTGACCCTAGAAAAGGTGCTACCTTCTGGCCCATCAGCAGAAAGGAAAAAGGAGAAAGGCAGTGGGGGTGGGGCAGTGGGGAGGAGAGGGTTAGAAGTTGGAGGTTCTCCTCCCAGCTCAGCTGCTGTTTGGCTGTGTGACATCAGGTGGATCTCTTCCCCATTCTGAGCCTCAGTTTTCTCATAAGTAAAATGAGGGTCTGCATTTTGCTTTGCAACTCTAAAAGCAGCAGGGTCCTTTTTTTTTTTCGTATACTTATTGGCACCTCAACATATAAAACAGATAAAAGCAATTTCTGACAATTGGTCAGGTCCCAGAGAGCTCCATAGCCCTGGCATTTTAGCTGGTCTCTGCTGGATCCCGACAGGAGCCAAGTCCTTTCTGGAAAGGGGCTCAAAGCCCACATACTCTCTGCACTTCCCCCAGGAAATATGTCCTTGGGTGTGTGTTATGTCCTTGGGGAAGTGAGAAGAATGCAGAACCACTCCCCCCATAGCCTGGATATACTCCCTGAGATGAGGGCAGTAAGGTGCTGAGGACCCCAGAAGTAACTTGTTTTTCTCAACTTCTCAGGAGAAGGCCATCAGCATTTGGGAGTCAAAGAATTTCTTTTTTGAACTTGAGCCTCTGCCAGGGGCCGTGGAAGCTGTGAAGCAGATGGCCAATCTACAAAAGTAAGTTTGTCTTCCTGGCCCTGCCTGACCGGGCCACTCAGCCCTGTACCTCCTTCCTGCTTCTTCCCTTCTCTACCTTCTCCTTTCTCGCTGCTTGGCCCTGCGCAAGGCTGCGTTTGCCTCATTATTGCTGAATTTGGGGAAAGCCACCGAGTAAAATAGACTCCAGGCAAGGCATGGTGGCTTACGCCTATCTTCCCAGCACTTTGGGAGGCTGAGGCAGGCAGATCACAAGGTCAGGAGGTGGAAACCCCATCTCTACTAAGAATACAAAAAATTAGCCAGGTATGGTGACACACACCTGTAGTCCCAGCTACTTGGGAGGCTGAGGTAGGAGAATCACTTGAATCCGGGAGGTTGAGGTTACAGTGAGCCGAGATCGTGCCACTGCACTCCAGCCTGGGTGACACAGCAAGACTCCATCTCAACAACAGCAACAAAAAATGTGTACAGAGTTCTTCCCATTGAGGTACAAAATAAATGTGTGTAGGTTTCTTTTGGGGGTGATGAAAAGGCTCTGAAATGGATATGGTAGGTCTGGGTACGGTGGCTTATGCCTGTAATCCCAGCACTTTCGGAGGCTGAGGCAGGCAGATCACAAGGTCAAGAGATTGAGACCATCCTGGCTAACATGGTGAAACCTTGTTTCTACTAAAAATACAAAAAGTTAGCCATGCGTGGTGACACACGTCTATAGTTCCAGCTACTTGGGAGGCTGAGGCAGGAGAATCACTTGAACATTGAACCTGGTAGGTGGAGGTTGCAGTGAGCCGAGATCGTACCACTGCACTCCAACCTGGGCGACAGAGCGAGACTCCATCTTGGAAAAAAACACAAGAAACAAAAAATGGACTCCATTTGTAGGCTATGATGTTTTGATCCAGGAACTTGAGGAAATACCCAGTTTAATTTGGTCTGATTCCCTGGGTGTTCAAAGCTCATTTATTCAGCAAATATCTCAGAACTGACTGTGCTAGATGCTGCAGGCCCCAGGGATTCAGTAATGAGCAAAGCATAGTCCTTGCCCTCATGGAGCTTCCAGTCCAGGCAGAGCAGACATTAAAGAATCACAAAGTGAAAACAATCGCAGATTGTCCAAAGAGCTGAAGGAAAAGAGGGTCAGTGGGAAACCTCATTTAGAAAAAGGCATTTGAGAAAAGAGAAATGGTATTGCTTGAGATATTTCTGTTTTGTTCTGATGAAATGAGTAGTTCTGTGGACTGAAGCCCCCTACTCAGTGACCATTACACAGAGGCCACTGTGACCCATTGACAATTACAGAGGATGTGCTTCCCTTAGAAGCCTTACTGACGTATAAATGACGCACCATACAGTCTACCCATTTAAAGCATATAATCCAGTGGTTTCACAAAACCATTTGCAAAGTTGTGCAACCATCACCATGTCCAATTTTTTTTGACATGGAGTTTTGCCCTTATTGCTCAGGCTGGAGTGCAGTGGCACGGTCTCAGCTCACTGCAACCTCGCCTCCCGGATTCAAGCGATTCTCCTGCCTCAGCCTCCCAAGTAGCTGGGTTTACAGGCACATGCCACCACACCCAGCTGATATTTGTATTTTTAGTAGAGACGGGGTTTCACCATGTGGGTCAGGCTGTTCTTGAACTCCTGACCTCATGATCTGCCTGCCTTAACCTCCCAAAGTGCTGGGATTACAGGCATAAGCCACAGTGCCCGGCCCTACCATATCCACTTCAGAGCTTTTTTCATCGCCCCCAAAATAAACCTTGTACCCATCAGCAGTCACTCCTGTTCCTGCCCTCCCCTTTAACCCCTGGCAATCACTATTCTACTTTCTGTCTTTAGGAATTTGCCTATTCTAGGGATATCATATAAATGACATCATAGAATATTTGTTTTTTTGGGTCTGACTTCTTTCATTTAGCACGTTTCCAAGGTTCATTTGTGTTGTAGCATCTATCAATACTTATTCTTTTTATGGCTGAATAATATTCCAGCTATTTTATATGTATGGATCTAATATATGGATAGACAACATGTATCAATCTATTTATCAGTTGATAGATGTTTGGGCTGTTTTCACTTTTGAGCTATTAGGAATTGTGTTGCTATGAGCATTCTTGTAAGTATTTATTTGAATCTTGTTTTCAATTCTTTTTTTTTTTTTTTTTTTTTTTTGAGATAGAGTCTTGCCCTGTCACCCAGGCTGGAGTGCAGTGGCATGATGATGGCTCACTGCAGCCTCTACCACCTGGATTCAAACTCTCCTCCTGCCTCAGCCTCTGGAGTAGCTGTGGCCACAGGTGCACACTACTACACCCAGCTATTTTTTCATTTTTTGTAGAGGTAGGATCTCCCTATGTTGCCTAGGCTGGTCTCAAATTTCTAGGCTCAAGCAATCCTTCTGCCTCAGTCTCCAAAAGTTCTGGGATTACAGATGTTTTCAGTTCTTTTGGGAATATACCTAGGAATGGAATTGCTAGACCATAGGATAATTCTATGTTTGATATTTTGAGGAAATGCCAAACTGTTTTCCAAAGCAACTGTACCATTGCACATTTCCCACAAGCATCATTTAAAGGTTCCAGTTTCTCTACCTCTTTGTAAATACTTGTTAATTTCTTTTTCACTTTAGCCATCCTGGTGGTTGTGAAGTGATTTTGTGGTTTCAGTTTGCATTTCTCTGATGGCTAATGATACTTAAGCATCTTTTTCTTTTTTGGTTGCCCAAGCTGCGGTGCAATGGCGCAATCTCTGCTCACTGCAACCTCTGCTTCCCAGGTTCAAGCAGTTCTCTTGCCTCAGCCTCCTGAGTAGCTGGGATTACAGGCCTATGGTACCATGCCTGGCTAATTCTTTTGTATTTTTAGTAGAAACGGGGTTTCACCATGTTAGCCAGCCTGGTCTCAGACTCCTGACCTCAGGTGATCTGCCCACCTCGGCCTCCCAAAGTGCTGGGATTACAGGCATGAGCCACTGCAGCGGCCACATCTTTTTCTTTTTAGACAGGGTCTGGCTCTGTCACCTAGGCTGGAGTGCAGTGGTGTGATCTTGGTCCACTGCAACCCCTGCACCTCCTCCACTCTCCCACCTTCCAGGCTCAAACGATCCTTCCACTTCAGCCTCCCAAGTACCTGGGACCACAGGGATGTACCACCATGCCTGGCTATATATATATATATATATTTTTTTTTTGTATTTTTAGTGGAGACAGTGTCTCACCATTTTGCCCAGGCTAAGCTCAAATTCCTGAGCTCAAGTGATCTGCCTGACTTGGCATGCCAAGTGCTGGGATTACAGGTGTGAAACACCACACCTGGCCTCAAACATCTTTTCATGTACTTATTGGCCATTTTAAATTTTCCTTCTTTCTTTTTTTTTTTTTTTTTTTTGAGATGGAGTTTCGCTCTTGTTACCCAGGCTGGAGTGCAATGGCGCAATCTCGGCTCACTGCAACCTCCGCCTCCTGGGTTCAGGCAATTCTCCTGCCTCAGCCTCCTGAGTAGCTGGGATTACAGGCACACGCCACCATGCCCAGCTAATTTTTTGTATTTTTAGTAGAGACGGGGTTTCACCATTTTGACCAGGATGGTCTCGATCTCTTGACCTCGTGATCCACCTGCCTCAGCCTCCCAAAGTGCTGGGATTACAGGCTTGAGCCACTGCGCCCGGCCCTTTCTTTTTTGAGATGCAGTTTCGCTCTTGTTACCCAGGCTGGAGTGCAATGGCGCGATCTCGGCTCACTGCAACCTCCGCCTCCTGGGTTCAGGCAATTCTTCTGCCTCAGCCTCCTGAGTAGCTGGGATTACAGGCAAGAGCCACCATGCCCAGCTAATTTTTTGTATTTTTAGTAGAGACAGGGTTTCACCATGTTGACGAGGATGGTCTTGATCTGTTGACCTCAAGATCCACCCACCTCAGCAAGTAGTGAATTTTATTCTGGTTTATGGTATGAACTTGATGGATATGTAGTGTTTCTGTAGCAAGAGTTTGAGAGGCAAAGAATATGTGTACAGCATTCACACTTAAGCTTTCAAAACCCTGATCACAGCCTGGATCAACGTGTGCTGTCCTACAGCCACATGGTTGTGTGCTGGGAAGCTGCAGGACATGGTGGTTTGAAGTGGGGTCCTGGACATAGGCTGCCCAGGCTCACATCCTTACTTCCCCAGAATCTCACTCTCATATGTCAGGCCAGTAATTAAACTTTCTGGGTCTCAATAAAATGGAGATAATGAGAAAGTCCTCAGTAGAGTGCCTGGCATATAGCAGGTGCTAAGAAAATGCTAGCTGCTGCTGTTGCCGTTCTGTAAGATTTAATAGACATGTCACAAGAAAAGACTCCTTGAGCCACCACAGTATGGAAAATACTGGATTGAACTGGCTTCTTCACCATAGAACATTTCAGAGCTTTTAACTGCTTCTGGGCTTTGTGACACTTCACTGGGGTAGTAGAAGATGCAGCTTTCTTCAAAAGTATTCTAGCTTGGGTGGGGTGTCGTAGCTTGTGCCTGTAATCCATCACTTTGGGAGACCAAGGCAGGAGAATCACTTGAGCCTAGGAGTTTGAGACCAACCTGGGCAACACAGCATGATCATGTCTCTACTAAAATAATAATAATAATAATAAAAAGAAGCCAGGCATGTTCACCTGTCCCTGTAGTCCTAGCTACTTGGGAAGCTGAGGCAGGAGGGTCACTTGAGCCCAGGAGTTCAAGGCTGCAGTGAGCTATGATCACGCCACTGTACTCCTACATGAGCAACAGAACAAGACCCTGTCTCTTAAAAAAAAAAAAAAAAGATATTCTAGCTAGAACATGTTTTCATAGCTTCTCTATTAACACCTTTGAAGAAATTCCAGTTTGGGAATGCAAATCTAGACCATACTCAGTGGTCCTTTATCTCCATTTGACTCTTAACTTGGTAGAATATTCCTATGGTCAGTTTGTGCCCAGTATCTAGACAAAGTGAAGGGACTTGTCAGTAACTGAGGTGATAACTGTATATCTGGTGCTGAAGTGGGCACTCTGAGTATAAGAGATGTGGGCCCAGCAGCAGAGACCAGGGCTGATCAGTCACCCTCATGACTTTATCCAGCACCTGCTGCATGCTCGGCCTTATTCCAGGGGCTGCGGACACACAAATAGGTAAGCGAGTTCTTACCTTCAAAGAGTTCTCTGGTAAGTAGGCATTGGAACATAGATCTCAAAGGAATTGTGGCTTTGGAGTGCAGGCAGGCAGAAACTGCTTCTCCCAGGGAGGCTGCACCATTGTGCTGCCATCTTGAGGAATGAAAAGGAACCTGCCAGGTGATGAAGGGTAAGGGGACTCCAGGTAGGAGGGGAACTGTTGAGCAGATGCCCAGAGGACTCTCCTGAGATGGCCTCTGTGGCATGTCCCGCCCTGTTCCAGCAGCTCTGTGCATGAGATAGGGCTTCCCTGGGCAGAGCCTCAGGTTCTGAAGAGCTTGGTTTGGAATATCTTCGGGGTGACCATTCTTTTTATTGTTCCGGAATACATGAATATGTATATATATTTGAGACCGTCTTGCTCTGTCATCCAGCCTGGAGTGCAGTGGCGCCATCTTGGCTCACTACAACCTCCACCTCCTGGGTTCAGGCAATTTTCCTGCATTAGCCTCTGGAGTAGCTGGGATTACAGGTGCCTTCTACCACACCCAGCTATTTTTTTTGTATTTTTAGTAGAGATGGCGTTTCACCATGTTGGCCAGGCTGGTTTCAAACCCCTGACCTCAAGTGATCCACTCGCCTCAGCCTCCCAAAGTGCTAGGATTACAGGTGTGAGCCAGGTGCCCAGCCATGAATATATTCTTATAAAAGACTCCAATAGCGTGAGCGTGTGTGAAAATGTGTCAGTTGCCCTCTCTCCCTGCATATGCCTGCCTTGGCCCACCCTTTCTGCCCTAGTTAAGAATTTGGTGTTTATGCATCCAGACCTTTTGAAGTGCACCCCCTACATATTCAGATATAGTTTTACAAATGTGTGTTTCCCACCCAGCAGCCAGTGATTTTTTTTTTTAAACCAAATTCAGATGATGTTAGCCCCACTGCTTAAAGCCTTCTGCTGGCTTCATACTGTGCTAAAATCCTGCTCTCCCTCAGCCAGCCTGCGAAGGCCGTCTGCCTTCCCCTGGTCCTGCCTTCCCCTCTAACCTGTGTCCTTCCTCTGCTCCTGTCATGCTGGCTTCTTTCCTGCCCCTTGTTTCTGGTCTTAGGACCTCTGTTCCTGTCACATCTTCCTGGAATGTTTCGGCCCTAGCTCTTCTCACAGCCAGATTGTTTTTCTCTTTTATACTGAGTACCTTGCATGTTGCCTCCTCACAGAGGCCTTCCCTGACCACTGCAGCTGAGGTCTCTGCCCTCCCCTCCTGCTCCGTCTGTCCCATGACCCTGGGTTTGTACTCTAAGCTGAAATTGCATGTCTGTGTCTGTCTCTTCCTCTTTCAAATGTCAGCGTCCTGAGGTCAGGGATTGTCTTGCATCCGGCTCTGTTCTCAGTTCCCAGAATGATGCCTGGCACATCTATACACTCAAAATATTTGCCAAATGAATAACTTTATGTGCATAATCCTGTAGTAATTGTTGATTTTCAAAAACATGGGTTTTTTTTTAAATAACAATTTTGGATGAAACCACTCATTTGGAAGGATAAGAACTTAAAACTGATTTTAGCATGGTGCTTACTGTTGTGGAGCCTAGAATAAGAGGTATTTTATTCATGGGTTCGTTAAACAGACATAGTTTACCGCTTAATATGCACCCAGTACTAGGCTAGCACTGGGGATATATTTGGAAATAAGACACCTAAGGTTTCACACCTCAGGGAGTTTACATCACAGCAGGGAGGATGACAATATATAAATGAAAATAATTTCCAATTGTGATGAGCTTTATGAAGAACTAAACAAGGTGCTGTGCTGGAGAGTAAACCGGGAAGGGCTGCTTTAGGTGGGGTGGGAAACTTGCATCATCAGTCATTAGGGAAATGCAAGTCAAAACTCCAAGGAGGAGCCGGGCGAGTGGTGTTCACCTGTGGTCCCATCTACTCAGAAGGCTGAGGAGGGATGACCCTTTAGCCAGCCTAGGCAACAACATAGTGAGACCATCTCTAAAAAGACCACAGTTCACATTGTGGGTGTGAATATAAAGTGGTGCAGCTGCTGTGGAAAACACCTTTAAAAATATTTTCTCAAAATCTTAGGCCAGGCACAGTGGCTCATGCCTGTAATCCCAGCACTTTGGGAAGCCAAGGAGGGCAGATCGCCTGAGGTCAGGAGTTGGAGACCAGCCTGGCTAACATGGTGAAACCCCATCTCTACTAAAAATACAAAAATTAGCTGCGCATGGTGGTGGGCGCCTTGTAATCTCAGCTACTCGGGAGGCTGAGGCAGGAGAATCTCTTGAACCCAAGAGATGGAGGTTGCAGTGAGCTGAGATAATGCTACCGCACTCCAGGCTGGGTGACAGAGTGAGATTCCATCTCAAAAAAAAAGTTAGACATAGGCTTACTATATGAGTCAGCAATTCCACTCATTGATATACACCCAAAGGAATTGAAAACAGGTATTCAAACAAATACTAATACCCAAATGTTTCAGCAGCACTATTCACAGCAACCAAAAGGTAGAAACAACCCAAGTGTCTTTTAAGTGATTGATGGATTTTATTTTATTTTATTTTATTTTTTTGAGATGGAGTTTTGCCCTTGTTGCCCGGGCTGGAGTACAATGGTGCAATCTCGGCTCACCGCAACCTCCGCCTCCCAGGTTCAAGCAATTCTCCTGTCTCAGCTTCCCAAGTAGCTGGGATTACAGGTGTGTGCCACTATGCCCGGCTAACTTGTACTTTTAGTAGAGATGGGGTTTCTCCATGTTGGTCAGGCTGATCTCGAACTCCTGACCTCAGGTGATCTGCCTGGCTTAGCCTTCCAAAGTGCTGGGATTGCAGGCATGAGCCACCATGCTCAGCCTGGATTGATATTTAAGATGTCATGTAGCCACACAATGGAATATGTTTCTGCTATAAAAAGGCATGACTGCTGGCACAGTGGCTCATGCCTGTAATCCCAGCACTTTGGGAGGCTGAGGTAGATGGGCGGATTGCCTGAGCTCAGGAGTTCGAAACCAGCCTGGGCAATGTGGCAAAATCCCATCTCTACTAAGAATACAAAAAAAAAAAAAATTAGCTGGGCATCATGGCAGACACCTGGGATCCCAACTACTCAGGAGGCTGAGGCAGGAGAATGGCTTGAACCCAGGAGATAGAGGTTGCAGTGAGCTGAGATTATGCCATTGCACTCCAGCCTGGGCAACAAGAGCAAAACTCTGTCTCAAAAAATTTTTAATTTGATTATACACTTAAAATAGGTGAATGTTATGATATATAAATTATATCTCAATAAGACTTTTCTTTTTTTGTGTGACGAATTCTTGCTCTGTTGCCCAGGCTGGAGTGCAATGGTGATTTCTTGGCTAACTGCAACCTCCACCTCCCAGGTTCAAGTGATTATCCTGCCTCAGGCTCCCGAGTAGCTGGGTCTACAGGCACGTGCCTGGCTGATTTTTTTTTTTTTTTTCAGTAGAGACACGTTTTCACTGTGTTAACCAGGATGGTCTCAATCTCCTGACCTCATGATCTACCTGTCTCAGGCTCCCCAAGTGCTGGGATTACAGGCATGAGCCACTGCACCCAGCCCTCGATAAAACTTTTAAGAAATGTTTACTCAATTTAAAAATTAGGACAAATTATTGATACATTTATTTAATAATACGATGAATATCAGAATAGTTTTGCTGGATGAAAGAAGCCAGACAAAACAGAGTATAGACTATGTTTCCATTTAAGTTACATTCTGGAGAATACTATCCAATCTGCACTGATGGAAAGTGATGGGTGGTTGCCTGGGTCCCCGGAAGGGGTGACAGGGGACAGGGAGGGGTAGCTGGGAGAGGTAACAGAGAGAAACTTTTGGGGGTGGCAGGTATGTTTATTTTTTTATTGTGGTGATCTGGGTTTCCCATGTGTATCTTTTATTTATTTTTTCATATCTCTTTATTTATTTTGAGACAGAGTCTTGCTCTTTCGCCCAGGCTGGAATGCAGTGGTGCCATCTCGGCTCACTGCAACCTCCACCTCCCAGGTTCAAGCGATTCTCCTGCCTCAGCCTCCCCGGTAGCTGGGACTATAGGTGTGCACCACCATGCCTGGCTAATTTTTGTATTTTTAGTAGAGATAGGGTTTCACCATATTGGCCAGGCTCATCTCGAACTCCCAACCTCAGGTGATCCACCCACCTCAGCCTTCAAAAGTGCTGGGATTACAGGAGTGAGCCACCACACCCGGCCTCCCATGTGTGTCTTTATGTCCAAATTTATTGAATTGTACCCTTTTAATATGTGCACTTTATTGCATGTTGATTATACCTCAGTAAAGCTGTTTAAAAAGACTCAGTCTGGATGCTGGGTAGAAATGCTTGGGGGGCAAGAACTGGAAGTTGAGGATTCAGTGGAGGTGGTCGCGGCTGCTCAGTGGGAGGTGGCGCCTTTGGGTCTGGGGTGAGGTCTGTGGAGAGAGGCTGGTGGATGACGTGTGCTTTGGTGGGACCCACAAGACCTGTGGATGGATCTGATAATAGGGGTAGAAGAAAGGTAGGAAAAAGGGGTGATTTTTAGGTATTTTGCTTGAGTACAGCTCTGTCTTTACCATTTCTATTTATCTAAGATAGTCCAGGAACTGAGGGAAGACTCAGGGAGGGACAGGCTTTAGGAGCAGAGGATCACATGTCCCACATTGGAAATCCTGTGTGAGGTGTGTGAGGTGTCCTGGTGGGTGTGAGGCTGGTGCTGAGAGAGGCTGGGACACATCAGCTTGCAGAAGGTATTTAAAGCAGGAGTGCAGGCAGAGAGCCCCTGAGGGCCTGGACCCAACCTGGAGAGGTCAGCGGAGGAGTAGACGGGGAGTCTGGGCCCAGCAGCTGGCGAGGAGCTGGAATGGAGGAGGAAGAGAGCCCAGTGGCAGGTGAGCTTCCACATCCATGATGAGGTGCACTCAGAGTCTCACCCACAAGAAGATTGAGGAAATGAGGCAGGTGTGTCCTGGCTCTGCCCAGAGTGCCAGAGAGGGCACCGGAGAGAGCTGCCAGGCAACTGCAGGCCCTGCCTGGCTCAGTGTCAGGAATTGAAGATGCAATGGGTCCAACTGATGATATGAATTTTCTTCTCCAGCAACATTGAGTTGCTTGGGTGCAGATGGGAGCAGTGGGATGGCTGGGCTCCTTCAGGGGCCTGGCGAGACAGACCTGGGTGGAGCATGAGAAATGCAAGCAGAGGTTGGCAGCAAAGGCTGGGCCCCAGCTGGGTGAAGGCAGTTCGCCAAGCTGGGACAAGGAGGGTGTCTCCATGAGGCTGAAGAGTTGAGTGCAGGATGAGAGAACACACATGCTGAAGCATTGTGGATGGTGGCCAGGGAGGCAAAGCCTGAGACTAGGATTTGGGGGGAAGTGATTCCAAGCTCCATGGGGTGACAGTAGGAGATGTGTTGAAGGTTGGATGTTTGGAGGTGGAGAGGAAGGTGTTTGGAGGTGGGGAAGGTTAGGAACTGAGTGACAAGGTGTGGGATCTGCACCTGTGCACGCACATACGTGTGGACATGTGTCAGGTCACTGAGGACTGTGATGAAGCAGGAGTGGAGAGGATGGCGAGCCAGCCACAGAGTGCATAAGGGATAGTAACTGGCAATGGTGACAGTGGCCAGAAAGGGCAGCAGGGGTGTGCTATAGGGTGTGGGCACTGGCATCAGGGTTCTGGAAGGAGCAATGGAGAAGGAAGATGCCACCATCTCTGAAGTCTGTGGGGTGAGGAAGAGGCAGCTCGCACTCAGAGGCGAGTTGGGGAGGGGCACCCTTGATGTGAGGCCAGTTTCGGTTAGGGCAGGAGTGAGGATGCTGGCGAGAGGCTGAGTCTTTACGAGAGGGGCTGGCGTGGCTGGCGGAGGTAGTACCAAGAACAGGTAATGAGAGGGCACACCCTGTGCCCAGTCTCACCTCTGACTCTTGGGGCACTTGTTTGTCAGAGAGAAAGCATCAGCAAAGTTCTGTCTTCCAGAGGCTCAGCAAAACGCACAGGAGGTACAGGTTCCAGTGGCGAATGCCAGCCTCATGAGGGTGTTTGGGACCAAGTGGCCCCATTAGTGAGGGCTAGGGCCCTGTGGGCATGAGGGTGCAGGCACCTGGGAGGCTATTTGGGTCAGCTCCCCCATGGTTACAGCACAGCACTGCAACTCCGGGGACTTGGTGCTCCTCATTGCTGAGCTAAGCCAAGCCTGTCTTTCAGGGACTCAATCACTGCAGGGCTCAGCCCAGCATGAAGTAGGCCCCTTCTCTGTGTTCCCCAGGCCAGGGGACTTGCACACCAGAATCCTTCTTCCTCATAGATTTCTTGACTTACCTTTCTCCATGGCAGGAGGCCCTGCAGGCAGATGTCCAGCCCAGAGCTGGCTGCCTGGCCAGGGTAGGGTCATGTGGCTGCCCAGGGCCATGGGATAGGGCAGACACGCGAGGCCAACACCTCTGGTGTGGAGATAGTACAGGGTGGTGGGGGTCCCACAGCAGATGAAGGGTTCAGACTCAGAGGGTCCAGTCCTGTGAAGGCGGGGCAGGTAGGGAGGACCTCTGGTGGTGAGTCAGGGGGCTGCAGGCTCACCACTCAGCCGGGGCAGGTGGGGAGGGCCTTGGGTGGTGAGTCAGGGGCTGCAGGCTCACTGCTCAGCCTCCCTTCTCTTGTTGACAGCACTGACGTCTTCATCTGCACAAGCCCCATCAAGATGTTCAAGTACTGTCCCTATGAGAAGGTAAGGCATGCATCTGCTCAGCTGGACCTTACCCGTGTTCAAACAGGCGAGGGGTGTGGGACCCAGTCTGCCTGTGGAAAGGGGATGGACCCTCGCAGCACTCCCCTACCTCTGTGACAGTAGGCTCCCACTCCCCAAGGCCCACTCCAGCCCCAGCCTGAGGCTCTAGATGGGGACTCATTATGATGCAGGTTCTCTGACCATGTCAGGTTAGCCTGGCCCAGAGCAGGCCTTTGAAGAGTGAGAACCCCAGCTGGGGAGGGCCTGGAGGCATTAGATGTATTTCCATGGAAAGTCTCACAAAGGTGAGCTGGGTAAAGTTCATTTTGCTATATACTCACTTTATTATCTTCATTGAAAAGAATTAGAATTGCATGACATTGAGACCTTTCTGGAAATTGGGAACATGAAGTGGCCAAACCCAGAGGAAAGGTCTGTGACCCTGGAGGAGGTGCTCGTGCTGGAGGCCAGAGCAGCTCTTCCCAAATTCAGGAAGGCGAGATCTTCAGCCTGGAGCCCCTCCTGCTCTGGGGGCATCAAATCTTCAGGCATGAGTTCTTTCAGGGGTCTTCACATGATCTTTCTCTCTGGATTCCTTTTTTTTTTTTTGAAGATGGAGTTTTGCTCTTGTTGTCACCCAGGCTGGAGTGCAGTGGCACAATCACGGCTCACTGCAACCTCCGCCTCCCGGGTTCAAGCGATTCTCCTGCCTCAGCCTCCTCAGTAGCTGGGATTACGAGTGCCCACCACCACAGCCTCCTCAGTAGCTGGGATTATGAGTGCCCACCACCATGTTCAGCTATTTTTTTCTGTATTTTTAGTAGAGATAGGGTTTTGCCATGTTGGCTGGGCTGGTCTCAAACTCCTGAGCTCAGGTCATCCACCCACCTGGGCCTTCCAAAGTGCTGGGATTCCAGGCATGAGCCACAGGCCTGGTCTGGATTCCATATTTAAATGAAATTGACAGCCTGGCACAGTGTACTCCCAGCTACTCAGGAGGAGGCTAAGGCAGACACTTTTTTAGCTGGAGTTTCACTGGGTGGCCATGGTGGTCAACCAACAACTGTGGGAGTGAGATTAACAACGTGGCCTCATTCATCCGTTCCTGGGGATTAGATACTGTCTTTGCGCCGGTCGTCCCACCTTTGTAGCCTCAGCCCAGGACTGCCCTCGAGCTCCAGACACTCAGACCGGACGTATCTGTCCCTGGGATGCTGATTTCCTTGCCATGTCCTTCCTTCCCTCCCAGTGGGTGGCAGTGCTGTCTGCCGGCCTCAGGTCAGAAATCAGGGGCTGTCCTGACGAATCTTCTCTAACCACTCACCTCCAGCATGTCGGTGCATCCCATGTCTTGTGGGACTGATTTCTAAACCACATCTGGCACTTGTCTGCTTCTCTCTTCTCACTGCCACCACCCTGGTGTTTCCTCCCAGAGCAGCTGATGGGGCCTCCTAAACTGCCTGCTCCTCTCAGTTCCATGTGGGCTGACAAGGCCTCTCACACAGCAGATCATGGCAGCTCCTGACTTGAAACCTCTTTATGGTTTCCCTTTAGAAACCATGTACACGTGCCTGAGCATGACCTGCAGGGCCTACCAGGGCCCCCTCCCCATCTGCTTCTCCAGCAGCTTTTGGCTTGGAATGTTCTCCTCCCATCCCCAGCCCTGGTGCCTTCTCGTCCATGAGGCCTCCACCCAGAAGTCTCCCCACATTTTGTGACTGTCATGTCCATCTTGGTTTTTGGATAACACTTCCCACCACTTGAAATGGGTTTATGTTTTCATCGACGGCTTGTTCTTTGTCCATCTCCCAACTGGGCCAGGACCTGTGCCGGCTGGGCTCTCATTGTCCTGCCCACTGCCAAGCCCAGCGCCCAGCACAGGGTGGCACACTGTGAGTACTCAGCGTTTGTTGTTAGATGAGTAGATTCATTTGTCCAACAGAGAGTTACTAAACACCTGCGAGCAACAGGGCTTGGCGCTCATTTGATGCTTTGATATGCCAGGCGCTGTCCTATTATCGCTTTGGACGTTTATAACAGCTGCCTGTGAAACAAGAAAACTTCTGATTTGACAGATGAAGAAACTGAGGCTCAGAGGGATGAGGCAGCTCATGTACTGGGTCTGACGCTTGCCAGCGAGGCCTGCTCCAGGTCTGCCTGTCGAGAGCCTGTGCCCACCGCCTGTATGTTCCCTGGCAGGTAGCTAGCTTTCACTCACTAGAGAGGATTTGGAAACAGTGTGGATTTAAGAGGAAGGGGATGTCAGTTAGGACCCTAGTCCCAGCAACATCAACAGCCTCTGGCTAACTTGAACAAAGGCAGGACCGATTAGAAGGATGTTGCTTTGCTCAGGGAATCAAAGGGAAGCCTGAGGAAGCAGGCCTGAGACCACAGGGGCAGAGCACACAGACTCTCCAGCAAAGAGTCCAAGATGCTGGAACCCCCTTTCTCCATCCTTGGGTTTCACTGCCCAAGGTTCATAGTCCCAGGAGAAGGAGGCCCATCAGCTGAGCTTGGGTCCCACACCTAGCCCTGGGTGCCCTGACAGACTGTCCTAAGAGGCCACAGCTGGTGGCAGAGGTGTGACTTTCCAGAGGAGTTGAGGTGCCATTGCCAGAAGAAGGGGCACACTGATGGTGGATGTCCTGATCGAACTAAATGAAAGAGGAAAGGCAACAAGAATCCACATCTGCAGTCCCACCACCTGGAGAGGGATGCTGTTAGCACTTTGATCTGTTTCTTTCTAGCTTTTTTTGGCAGGGGCGGGGTCTCACTATGTCACTCAGGCTGGAGTGCAGTGGCGCCATCTCAACTCACTGCAACATCTGCCTCCCACGTTCAAGCAATCCTCCTGCCTCAGCCTCCTGAGTAGCTGGGATTACAGGTGCATGCCACCACGCCCAGCTAACTTTTTTATTTTTAATAGAAATGGGTTTCATCATGTTGACCAAGCTGGTCTTGAGCTCCTGACCTTGTGATCTACCCACCCCAGCCTCCCAGAGTGGTTTTTCTTTGATGTGTTTTAAATATAATACATGGGCCGGGCACGGTGGCTAACGCCTGTAATCCCAACACTTTGGGAGGCTGAGGCAGGCGGATCATGAGGTCAGGAGTTCAAGACCAGACTGGCCAACATGGTGAAACCCCATCTCTACTAAAAAATACAAAAATTAGCTGGCATGGTGGCTCATGCCTGTAATCCCAGCTACTTGGGAGGCTGAGGTAGGAGAATTACTTTAACTGGGACCCTGGAGGTGGAGGTTGCAGTGAGCCAGGATCGCGCCACTGCACTCTGGCCTGGGCTACAGAGAGACTCCATCTCAAAATAATAATAATGCATGTATTTAACAAAGCTTATGTCCTGTATGGTTTTCTTTTTCTGCTTAGGAATATATTTTTAGCCTTTTTTCTGTTATCAAACACTCTTCAGAAATAGGATTTTTTTTTTTTTTTTGAGGCAGAGTCTAGCTCTGTGGTCCAGGTTGGAGTGCAGTGGCATGATTTGGGCTCACTGCAACTTCTACCTCCTGGGTTTAAGTGATTCTCATACCTCAGTCTCCCAAGCAGCTGGAACGACAAGTGTGTGTCACCATGCCCGCCGAATTTTATATATATAATTTTTTTTTTTTTTTTGAGATGGAGTTTCGCTCTTGTTGCCCAGGCTGCAGTGCAATGGCGCGATCTTGGCTCACCGCAACCTCCGCCTCCTGGGTTCAGGCAATTCTCCTGCCTCAGCCTCCTGAGTAGCTGGGATTACAGGCACGCGCCACCATGCCCAGCTAATTTTTTGTATTTTTAGTAGAGACAGGGTTTCACCATGTTGACCAGGATGGTCTCGATCTGTTGACCTCGTGATCCACCCGCCTCGGCCTCCCAAATAATTTTTTATATTTTCAATAGAGGTGGGGTTTCACCACATTGGCCAGGCTGGTCTCAAACTCCTGGCCTCAAAGTGGTCTGCCCACCTTGGCCTCCCAAAGTGCTGGGATTACAGATGGAAGCCACCATGCCTGGCCAGAAACATTATTATTAATAGCTGATGGCATCTTGTGAGTAAGTCTTTGTATGGTCATGTCCTTAGGGTGAATTCCAAGAAATAGAACTCCTGGATCATGTGAGAAAAGGTAGGGTTTGGGTAAATATCACACAGAAAATTTATTCATTTCCACTGCACCAGCCGTGGGCAGGGTCCTCTCCTCCTGCCAGTGGGTAGGCTGTGCCACGTAGGGTCAGTCAGTAGAGGAAGTGGGCCATTGAACAAACACACGAAGACGGGAAAGTGCGCAGCACATTTGAGGAATTCGGGATGAATTTGTTGGCTGGTGGCTACAGGGGCTTGGGTTGGGCCAGGTGAAGTGGATTAGTTTATTCCAATCTCCCAGCTGTCGTCATGGTTTGGCCACACCACCACCTCTAACCCTAGAACTAAGACAAGGGGGAAAGTGTGGGCGAGATGTAAGTAAGACGAAGGTTGCTCCAGGCACCCCCTTGCCCACTGTTCATGCCCCTCCCATCCCTGTAGACTGGCACTTCTTCCCTGGCTGAGGGCGGGCAGGTATTAACAGTTCCTCTACTCCATGCCTGGGGCTGGCAAGGTAGGGCTGGAGGTGGGTCTCCAGACATGTCTACACAGGACAGAGGTCTCCAACATGGTAGCCCCAGTCTAGGCTCAGGCCCCAGACCATGCACACTTCCTCAACAGCTCTGTGCACCGAGTAGGATCAGCCTTTGTGGCCAGAAGTGGGAACTTTTATCCTTGGTTGATTTTCTTTCAAGACCCAGTCAGAGGACAGGAACCTGACTGCCATCAGCTCTCCCTCTTTCTCACATGGAGGGAGTTGAGTTGGGTAACATTCAGGTTACCAGAACCTTCTTTCTGGCTGGAAAGAAGGTTTCCAACATTCTAAACCCCTGGGTAATAGTTAACAGTAGATTAAAACTGGGTAATAGTTAACAGTAGCCAAGCTGGTCGTATATGGCTGCAAGGGCTTGCCCTGTAGTGATGCATTTAGCCTCATGTAGCCCTACACAATAGGTACTGTTATTATCCCTGTTCTACAGATGGGGAGACAGAGGCACAGGGTCAGTAGCCAGAAAGTGGGGAGTTGGACTTCAGAGCCCGGGCTCTGCTCCTCAGCCTCAGTGCCTCCTCTCGGACTCCCTGACTCAGAACTGAAGCAGCATGACCTGTACCTTTTCACCCTGCAGAGAGATTTAAAAATCCACAGCAAGTTCTTCATGCACAGGCATAACATTTTACTCTGAAATTTTCCCATTCAAAAAGGGGAGTAATCACAAGCCAAATTAAGGGAGGGTCTTGGGTATGAAGGGGGATGTGCTCTTCTGACTTGAAGTCTGGTTTCCAGATGAAATGTCTGCCTTGTTCGACATTGATTTTTAGAATAAATGTCAAAAATTCCCACTTCAGGCCAGGTGCAGTGGCTCACGCTTGTAATCCCACTTTGGGAGGCTGAGGCAGGAGCATCACTTGAACCTAGGAGTTGGAGACTGGCCTGGACAACAGAGTGAGACCCCATCTCTAATAAAAAGAAATGAGCTGAGTGTGCTGGTGTGTGTCTGTAGTTGCAGCATTTTGGGAAGCTGAGGTGGGAGGATTGCTTGAGCCTGGGAGGTCAAGGCTGCAGTGAGCTATGATCATGCCACTGCATTCCAGGCTTAGTGACAGAATAAGTCTCTGTCTCAAAAAATAAATAAATAACCAACCCACTTCTTAATTGAGCCTCTTCCTTTAACCTGAAATAAAAACCTAAAAACATATTTTTTGTTTTGAGACAGAGTCTCGTTCTGTTGCCCACTCTGGAGTGCAGTGCAACCTCCACCTCCTGGGTTCAAGCAATTCTCCTGCCTCAGCCTCCCAAGTAACTGGTATTACAGGCAACTGCCACCATGCCTGGCTAATTTTTATATTTTTAGTAGAGACGGAGTTTCACCATATTGGCTAGGCTAGTCTCGAACTCCTGACCTCGGGTGCTCTACCCACTTCGGGCCCCTAAAGTGCTGGGATTACAGATGTGAGCTACCACACCTAGCCAATATAGACCTTTTTTTTAAACTTAATATAATGAATTTCTTTGCACATATATATGTAGGGGGGTGTGTGTGTGTGTGATTTTTTTTTTTTTTTTTTTTTTTGAGTCTTGCTCTGTTGCCCAGGCTGGAGGGTAGTGGTGCAATCTTGGCTCACTGCAACCTCTGCCTCCTGGATTCTAGCAATTCTCCTGCCTCAGCCTGTAGCTGGGAATACAGGTGCACGCCACCATGCCTGGCTAATTTTTTGTATTTTAGTAGAGACAGAATTTCATCATGTTGCCCAGGCTGGCCTTGAACTCCTGAGCTCAGGCAATCTGCCTGCCTCTGCCTCACAGAGTGCTAGGATTACAGGTGTGAGCCACGGCACCCAGCCTTCTTTGCATATTTTACTCTGAATTTTCAGTTGCTCCTGGTACCTTTTCCAGTTGCTCCCTGTAGGACTTATGCTAAAAGGCTTGGGACTTTCTCTTGGCACTAGAAGAAGTCCTAGGTTCTTTTGGGAATGGCATGGGGGCCACACTGCCAGCCTTCAGGAGCTTCGCCTGGAGTTCCTGAACCCCACTCTCACCCCCGCCATGCCATCTCAATGAGGCTCATGATGTGTTTTTTGGCATGTTTCTGGCCCATACCAGTGTTTATTTTAAAAATTGTCTGTTCCTGCTAATTGGCTTGAGGTTTCTTTTAGGGGTAATGCAAACATTCTAGAATTTAGATAGTGGTAATGGTTGCATAACATTGTCGATACACTAATGACCAATGAATTGTATGCTTTAAATTGGTGAATTTCATGGTATGTGAATTACATTTCCCGAGAAAATAAAATTGGCTGTTCAGATGGCTAATAATTCCAAAACTAACCCACTCCTTTTAGTTAGATCTGGCCATTTTATCATTGTAATAGGCATTGTAGACAAAAGCGCATGATCCCTTTATTTATGTAACTTTTTTAAAGACAGGGTCTTGCTCTGTTGCCCAGGCTGGAGAGTAGTGGTACAATCATAGCTCACTGCAGCCTCTTAACTCCTGGGCTCAAGTGGTCCTCTTGCCTCAGCCTCCCACTGGTTAGGATTATAGGCACATGCCACCACACCCAGCTAATTAAAAACATGTTTTTGAAGATGGGGTCTCCCTGTGTTGCCTAGGCTGGTCTCAAACTCCTGGCCTCAAGTGATCCTCTTGCCTTGGCCTTCCAAAGTGCTGAGATTACAGGCATGAGCCGTCGTGCCTGGTCACAATACCTTTAAAGTGTCCTAGATCAAGCCATTCATTCTGAAAACCTCCAGCTTTATGGTATTATTTTTCTAACTGTGTCATTCACCCACCTCTCACACCTGCATACCCCACCCTCCCTGATTTGAGGCTTGTCTTGAGATCTGCTCATCTGAGTGGAGCAGGACTCTGTCCCTTCCAACATTCTACCTGCCAGGGATTGTGTCTAGCTCACACAGCTCTAGTTCTAATGTGTGCATTTGGTGGTGGGCCTGTGAGCCACGTGGCACAGGGAAGGCGGGGAGGTAGGAATGAGAGCTGCCAGCCATCTGCCCCTCTGATGTTTTCCAGCACTGTTCTCTGCCAGCCTCCCCCTTTACTCCTGTGTCTTCTTGGTAATCACTGGTCTCTTTGCTCTCGAGGTGGTTCATGGACTTCCTGCCTGCACCCCTGGGTCTTGGAGAGAGGGCCTCCCCGGGAGTCCTGCCCACAGTTCTTTAGCTGCATGTAGTTTTAGGTTCCATGGCAGGCATTTTTTCTGATTCTGGTCTAGAACGACAGAACCGCTTTATGCTTGAATACCTTTACATTCACCTGGGCTGAACTATTTTCTCCCTAGAGCTTTCAGAAACCAAAATGGTGATCAGGTGATGAGCAAGCCTTCTTCCAAACAGCTGCTGATAAACCCAACAGATGCTTCCTTGTCCAAGCCTACCCTTGTCCACTGACGTGTCCCTCTGAGGCAAATCTGAGCTAAAGGCACAATGGCCCCACCAGCGTGTACATTGTTATACAGCTGATGAACCTACCTCTATGCACTATGGCCACCCAGAGCCCATAGTTTACATCAGGGTTCACTCCCAGTATCCTGCATTCTGCGATGTTGATAAGGGGGGAGGCTATGCATTGTGCAGCGGTGGAGGGTATATGGGAAATCTGTACCTCTGCTCAAGTTTTCTGTGACTAAAAAATAAAGGCTATTAAAATCCACAGTGAATGAGAGTCCCTCTTGCTCCATATCCTCTCCAGCATTTGGTGTTGCCAGGGCTCTGGATTTTGGCCTTTCTCATGCATGTGTAGTAGTGTCTCATTGTTTTAATTTGCATTTCCTTGATTAATGATATTGAACATCTTTTTAGCTAAATAGCCCTTTGCATGTTTTCTGTGATGAAAACATACAAGCCTTTTGCCTAGTTTCTCACTGAGTTGTTTGTGAGTTATGAGAGTTGTTTATATATGCTAGAAACAAATTCTTTATCAGATAATGTGTTTTACAAATACTCTCTCCCAGTCCGTGATTTATTTTTTTGAGATGGAGTCTCTCTCTGTTGCCCAGGCTGGAGTGCAGTGGCACAATCTTGGCTCACTGCAACATCTGCCTTCTAGGTTCAAGTGATTCTCCTGCCTCAGCCTCCTGAGTAGTGGGATTGCAGGCATGTGCCACCATACCAGGCTAATTTTTGTATTTTTAGAAGATGGGGTTTCACCATGTTGGTCAGACTGATCTTGAACTCTTGACCTTGTGATCCGCCCACCTTAGCCTCTCAAAGTGCTGGGATTACAGGCATGAGCCACTGCACCCAGCCTTCTTTTTATTTTTAATTTTTGGAGAGACAGGGTTTTGCTCTGGCACCCTGGCTGGAGTGCAGTGGCATGACCATGGCTCACTGTAGCTGTGACTCCCTGGGCTGAAGTGATCCTCCCACCTTAGCCTCCTGAGTAGCTAGGACTACAGACAACTGCCACTATGCCCAGCTAATTTTTAAAACTTTTTTTTGTAGAGATGGAGTCTTGCTATGTTGCCCAAACTGGTCTTGAACTCCTGGACTCAAGCAATCCTCCTGCCTCAGCCTCCCAAAGTGCTGAGATTACAGGCAAATTTTCTCAACAGAGTCTTTAGAAGAGCAGAAGTTTTATATGTTTAGATTTTTTATTTAGGTTATGATCTTTTTTTTTTTTTTTTTTTTGAGATGGAGTTTCACTCTGTCGCCCAGGCTGGAGTGCAACAACAAAAAAGAGGCTCACTGCCTCTGCCTCCCAGGTTCAAGGGAATCTCCCTGCCTCAGCCTCCCAGGTTCAAGGGAATCTCCCTGCCTCAGCCTCCTGAGAAGCTGGGATTATAGGCGCCCACCACCACACCCGGATAATTTTTTTCTATTTTTAGTAGAGATGGGGTTTCATCATGTTGGCCAGGCTGGTCTCAAACTCCTAACTTCAGGTAATTCACTTGCCTTGGCCTCCCAAAGTGCTGGGATTACAGGCATGAGCCACTGCGCCTAGCCACTCTAGCTTTATAGTAACTTTTGAAAGCAGTGTGAGTTTTCCAAAATTATTCTTTGTTTAAAAAATTGTTTTGGCTATTCTAGGTCCTTTGTATTTCTATTGAAAGTTTAGAACAGGCTTGTCAGTTTCTGCAAAGAACCTAGTGAGAATTTGATTGCAAGTGCATTGTAGCTATGGAGCTAAACAATATTGGATCTTCTGATCCACGAGAACACACACATCCTCATTTATATAGGACACCTTTAACTTCCCTCAGCAATGTTCTGTAGCTTTCAGTGTACCAGTCTTCCACATACTGTGTTAAATTTGTCTTGATTTCATGGTGTATTTTGTTTGGCACAGAGACTATCTTTATAAAAATAATTTTTTAAATTTTATAGTGGTAAATACACAAAAAAATTATCATTTTAGGTATACAGTTCAGCTGATTTTATTTATTTATTTATTTATTTATTTATTATAGAGACAGGGTTTCACAATGTTGGTCAGGCTGGTCTTGAACTCCTGACTTCAGGTGATCTGCCCACCTTGACCTCCCAAAGTGCTGGGATTACAGGTGTAAGCCACTGCACCCGGCCACAGCAGATTTTATTTTTAATGTTATTATAAACTTTTTTGTTTAACTGCAGTTTCCAAATATATACAAGTGGTTTTTTAATTTTTAATTTTTGTGGGTATATAGTAGGTGTGTCTATGAGGTACATTAGATGTTTTGATACAGGCATGCAATGTGTAACAAACACATCAGGGCAGATGGGGTATCTGTTACCTCAAATATTCAATCCTTTGTGTTACAGGCAATCCAATTATATTCTTAGTTATTTTTAAATGAACAACTTTTTTTTGTTAGATGGAGTCTCACTCTGTAGCTCAGGCTGGAGTGCAGTGGTACGATCTCTGCTCACTGCAACCTCCACCTCCTAGGTTCCAGAGATTCTTCTGCCTCAGCCTCCTGAGTAGCTGAAACTATAGGCACACGCCACCACTCATGGCTAATTTTTTTATTTTTAGTAGAGATGGGTTTTCGCCATGTTGGCCAGGCTGGTCTCGAACTCCTGACCTCAGGTGAGCCACCTGCCTTGGCCTCCTAATGTGCTGGGATTACAGGTGTGAGCCACCTCGACCAGCCATGAACAACTAAATTATTTTTTGACTATAGTCACCCTGTCGTGCTAGCAAATACTAGGTCTTACTCATTCTTTCTATTTTTTTGTACCCATTAACCCTCTCTACTTCCTGCTAGATACTCCTCCACTCGCCTTCCCAGCCTCTGGTAACCATGCTCCTATGCTCTATCTCCATGAGTTCAGTTGTTTCAATTTTTAGCTCCCATAGTGAGAACATGTGACATTCTTTCTGAGCCTGGGGTATTTCACTTAACATAATGACCTCCAGTGCTGTCCACATTGTTGCCAATGACAGGCTCTCATTCTTTTTATGGCTGAATAGTCCTCAATTGTGTGTATTTGCCACATTTTAAAAATCCAGTCATCTGTTGATGTACACGGAGGTTGCTTCCAAATCTTGGCTTGTGCATAGTGCTGCAGTAAACATGGGAATGCAGATACCTTTTCCATACACTATTTTCCTTTTTTTTTTTTGGTGGTGAGGGGAGGGATATATAACTAGGAGTTGTAAGAGATAGCTGGATTGTAAACTATCTCTATTTTCAGAGGAGCCTCCATTACATTCCCACCAAGAGTGTACAAGGGTTTTCTTCTTATTCTCTCCAGCATTTGTTCCTGCCTGACTTTTGGATAAAAGCCATTTTTACCGGAGCGAGATGATACCTCCTTGTAGTTTTATTTGTATTTCTCTGAGGATCAGTGATGTCGAGCACCTTTTTATATACCTGTTTGTCATTTGCATGTCTTTTGTTGTGACAGGGTCTCGCTCTGTAGCCCAGGCTGGAGTGCAGTGGTGTGAACATAGCTCACTGTAGCCTCAATCTCCTGGGCTCTCTTTCTACCTCAGCCTCCTGAGTAGCTGCGACTATTGGGTGTGTGCCACCAAGCCCGACTAATTTTTTTTTTCTTTTTTTGAGACAGCGTTTTGCTCTGTCTCCCAGACTGGTATATAAGTGGTGCAATCATGGCTCATTGCAGCCTTGACTTCCCAGCCTCAATCAATCCTCCCACCTTAGCCTCCCAAATAGCTGGGACTACAAGTGCATGCCACCATGCCTGGCTAATTTTTGTGTTTTTTGTAGAGACGAGGTCTCAGTATGTAGCCCAGACTGGTCTTGGACTCCCAGGCTCAAGCAATCTGCCCACCTTAGCCTCCCAAAGTGCTGGGATTATAGGCGTGAGCCACCACACCCGGCCACCATATGTCTTCTTTAGAGAAATGTCTGTTTAGATCTTTGGCTCATTTTAAAATTAGATTTTTTTCCTCTTGAGTTGTTTGAGCTCCTTATATATTCTGCTTGTTAATATCCCCTGTCAGATGGATAGTTTGCAAATATTTCCTCCCATTCTGTGGGTTGTCTCTTCACTTTGTTGATTGTACCCTTTGCTGTGGAGAAGGTTTTTAGCTGGATGTGATCCCATCTGTCTGAGTTTGCTTTGGTTGCCTGTGCTTTTGGGGTACTACTCAAGAAATCTTCGTCGAGACCGATGTCCTGGAGAGTTTCCCCAATGTTTTCTTTTAAATTATTTTATTTTATTTTATTTTATTTTTGAGAAGGAGTCTAACTCTGTCGCCCAGGCTGGAGTGCAATGGTGCGATCTCAGCTCACTGCAACCTCCGCCCTGAGAGGTTCAAGCCATTCTCCTGCCTCAGCCTCCTGAGTAGCTGGGATTACAGGTACCTGCCACCTCGCCTGGCTAATTTTTGTACTTTTAGTAGAGACAGGGTTTCACCATCTTGCCCAGGCTGATCTTGAACTTCTGACGTTGTGATCCACCTGCCTCGGCCTCTCAAAGTTCGGAGATTACAGGTGTTAGCCACCGCGCCCGGCCTCCCCAATGTTTTCTTAGTAGATTTTGTATGTCTAGAGAGTGGGGTCTAGTTCAATTCTTTTGCATATGGATATCCAGTTTTCCAGTGCCATTTATTAAAGAGACTGTCTTTGTCCCAATGTATGTTCTTGGCACCTTTGTCAAAAAATGAGTTCACAGTAGATACTGTCTTTAATATCTACCATTAAATATCTGTCATTTATTAAAAAGACTGTTAATTGGTAGATTTATTAAATCAACCATTTAATATCTGCCATTTATTAAAGAGACTGTGTTTGTCCCAATGTATGTTCTTGGCACCTTTGTCAAAAATGAGTTCACGGATTTATCTGTGCATTTTCTTTTTTGTTTTTTTTTAAAGATGGAATCT